CTAGCTAGGTGGCTAAGGGCAGCTAGGTGTCACAGTGGATAGAGTGCCAGGCCTGGAGTCAGGAAGACTCATCTTCCTGAGTTCAAATCTGGCCATAAAGACTTACTAGCTGTGTGACACTGGGCAAGTCTCTTAACCCTGTTTGCCTCATTTTCCTCATCTGTAAAATGCGCTGAAAAAGAAATGGCAAACCACTGCAGTATCTTTGCCAAGAAAACCCCAAATGGGGTCACCAAGAGTTGGACATGACTGAAAAAGAAGTGAACAACCACATCCATTGGCTGGCTCCTTCCCTACTGCCTACAAACACATCCAGGTCTCTGATGGTTAAAAACACTTCATGTGATCCTATCGTTCCCTCCAGGTATTGTTCTATATCTCTTGTTTTTCACAGTCAAATTCCTTGAAAAGGTTGTCTGCACTTATCGCCTCTCACTCAATTCTCAATCCTTTGCAATCTGGTTTTTGGGCATCCTAACCCAATTTAAATCTTTCCAAGCTCACCAATGATCTCTTAATTGCTAAATCCAATGGTCTGTCCTTAGTTCTTATTATTCTTTACCTTTCTGCAGTATGAGAGAACATTTATTAAGCACCTACTATGTGCCAGGCAAAGAAAGGCAAAAACTTTCCCTGCCCTCATTCAGGTGAGACAACACGTAAACGACTGTGTACAAACAAGATGTATACAGGATAAACTGGAGATGATATTAGAGGGAAGGCACTAACACTAAGGAAGAACAGGAAAAGCTTCTTTTAGAAGGTGGGATTTTTGTTGAGACCTGAAGGAAGGGAAGTAGAGGTGAAGATGAGGAGTGAGTACATTCCAGGCAGATGGAGCTTGCTGTTAGAGGAAGAGCAAGAAGGTCAGAGTCACTGGATTGTAGAGTGCATGGAAGGGAGTAAGGTGTCAGAAGACTGAAGAACTTCTGATATCACTGATCAGTTCCTCCTCCTGTAAACTTCCTCCTTCTCTTTTTTACTCTCTTAATTCTCCTTCTACATATCTGGCCATTCCTTTTTAGATTCCTCTTTCTCACTAAGTGTAGTCCAATATTCAAGAGTAAATTATTTTTCCCACTTCTTCTTTAAAGGTCTCCCTGAATGAAAAATAATTTTATTAACAATGAATCCTTCACTACTTCAAACGACCTATGATTTCATTGTTTTGGATACTCCCTCCATACCACAGAAATCCTTTGATTTAGAAGTGAAATGGTGTTCTTCATTAGGTACTGTCATTCTACACACCCACCCCCTTCCCACCCGTCCTTTGGCCAGACTTCTTGGGATGAGCCTTTTTGACCATTCTATTAAAACAAGACAGACTCATAATGTATTGTAGGCCAATATTCAACACCTTCCCAACCCAAACAGGATGTGCAGGACCTTGTGCTCTGCTTGCATTGGCTTTAGGAACCTGGGTTAAAGAGTAGATAGTCAAGATGGTGGACTGAGAGACTTGAAAAAAGTCAGGCTCCTCATCTACTCTACAAACACATAAATACTAGAAACATCAAAGAGAAGGGAAATGACTACAACTTCACAAGAAAATAAAAACCAACCAAACTGAAAGATGAACAAAGCAGAGTGGCAATACAATTAAACAACTGTTATACAGTCATCCCTTGACATTCAAGGCCAAGGTCTCCCACTGCATTCCGGGCCATCTCCAGTTATCCTGATCTATATCTTACCACTGAACCCAGATGGCTCCGGAGAAGAAAGTGAGGCTAGTGACTTTGCACAGCTGTCCCTCACTTAGATCCAATTCAATTGCTAGTTCATGGCATCATCTTCCTGATGTCATGGTCCTCTTTGAGAAGGAAGGACAAACAACAACAACAACAACAACAACAACAACAACAACAACAACAACAACGAGAATAGTCATTCCCCCAGGCTTTGTCCAGGGCCCCTTTCTCTTCTCTTGCTATATAGTCTCTCCCTGTATGATCTCATAACTTTCACAAGTTCCATTAATATCTCTTTTGAAATTATACTGCATTACTTTGTATTTAGCTATTTGTGTATATGTTTCATCTTCTATAATAGAAGCTAATTGATGACAGGGCCTGTTTTATTTTTGTCTTTAATATATCCAGTGCCCTGCACATAGTAGATGCTTAATGTGTCACACTTATCATATTCTAATCTATTCTTTGTATTTATTATATTCTAATTTGTATTACATTTGTGTAACATTCTCCTACTAGACTATAAGCTGCTTGAGTTTCATCTTCTCCCCCAATTCTTCCCCAGTACAGTGCCTTCTGCATAGCAGACCCTTAATAAATGCTGAATTGACTCCAAACAAGCATCAAGTGTAGGCATGCCCATTTTTCATAGCACTGGTGGTAATGAAAAGAAGCAAATCTGAAAATGGGAGTTTTACAGCTATTATGGGTTTCATATACTTATAAGAACCATAACTCCTCTGATTCTATATTCAAGTATTAAAGGTCTACTATATGCTAGGAACTGTGATAAAAAGACCAAAAAAAAGGCTCTGATTTCCAGAGCCTTATATTTTATTTACATTATTGATGGTTAAGAGTGTTGGACTGAGGAATTTGGATTTTAGTTGTGTCTTCAAATATATTTTAAGTATTTTCAGGAAGGATCATGTTTTAGCCTTCTTTTTAGAAATTTCTCTTAATTCTTAGCACAGTTCTGGGCTTGTATAGCAGATGTACAATAAATAATTGTAGAACAAATAACTGCCTTTACAGTCACAAATTGTGATCAAGGGAAGAAAAAGGTAAATTTAACTTTACAAAGTAGGCTAGGCAAATGTCCAAGGGGCTCACAACTAGGCTTCCCTTTCTTCCCTGAACAAAGGGCAAATACTTATATGTATGCGGTATCCTTACAGAAAGACTTCTTTGGTGAAGTGCTTTAAAAATCCACAGGTTCTTCTTGCTTCCCTGCCTCAAATCCTACCATCTTCATCTCTTCCTAACCTCCAAAATAAAAGTCCAAAACAAATCATGTGTAAACTTTAGTGGAGGAATGCCTTTAGTCAATCAACAAACGTTTATCAAGCAATTAATATGTGCCAGATGCTGTGCTAAGCACTTAGGATACAAAGAAAGGGGGACAAGTTCTGGCCCGCAAGGAGTTTATATTCTAATCAGGAGACATCCTGTAAATAACTGTGTCTGTCTGTCTTGCTCTCTCTTTCTATGAGCTTATACATCTAGAGAAGATCTTTATATATCATATATATTGCGTATATATTCAACATAGATGAAAGGTACTGACAGAGGGAAGACATTAGAGCAAGGAAGGATGTTCCAGGAAAGAAAGGTCTCCTGCACAAGGTGGGAGTTAAGCTGAGGCTTGAAGGAAGCCAGGAAAGCCAGGAGGTAGGGGTGAGGAAGGAGAACATTCCAGCATGGGGAAGTGCCTGAAAAGGCTTGGGACCCAGGAGATGGAGTGTCATGTGGGAAGTGTCAAGCAAACAGGCCAGTGTAGTTGGATCATAGACTACCTGCTGAGGATTAAAAGTGCAAGAAGACTAGAAAGGTAGGAAGGGTTCAGGTGGTGAAGGGCTTTAAATACCAAACTAAAGACTTTATTTTTGATGCCGGAGGTAAAAGAGAGCTATTGGACTTTATTGAGTAGGAGGCTAACAAGCTTTAGAAAGGTCACCTTTGAAGCTGAGGGGAGATTAGACTGGGGTGAGAAGAGTGTAGGGGCAGGGAAATCAACCAGAAGGCTATTTCAAGAGTTTAGTTGTGAGGTGATAAGGTCCTGCACCAAGATGGTGGCTCTATGAATAGAAAGAAAGGGATGTCTATAAGGGATGTTTTGAAGGTAGAAAGGAGAAGGCAGTGGCAGAATGGGTGTGGGACGAGTGTGAGTAGAGGTTGACACCAAGATTGCAAGCCTGCATAACTACGTAGATGCTGGTACCTTCAATTTATAACAGGGAAACATTTGGGAAAAGGGAAGGTTTTTGGAGGGAAAGATGAGTTCTGTTTTGGACATGTTGAGTTTGAGAGGCCTATGGAATAGCCAACTGGAGATGAACAAAAGGCAGTTAGTGAATCACACCTGAACCAGTCCATAAAAGAATGTGACATGAGTCCATAGTGATTAAAGGCATTAATCTAACTGAGTGGGAGAGAAGGGCAAATTATTTAGAAAGGTTCCTCAAGCCTGAGGGGCTGAGCAAAGGTGTTTTGGGTTCCAGTCTCTGTTCTTTTGCTTATGTATCTTTTAAGTCTGTATACACCTCTTCACAGCCTTTCTTTCCTGCTCTGTAAAATGCTCTATTTTACGGGGTTGTTAGAGAAATTAAACGGAATCATGGCTGTCAATGCCCTTTAAATGTGGGGAGCGGGGATGTTACTTAAGTAGGTGAGCTACCGTTTCCTTTGAGGTTCAGAATCAGGCCTGTAACAAGCAGTGCCTGGCCTAGGTCTCTCCATTCCCTTGGGAACAGGGTCTCAACAAGTAGTCCCCAGGCCCCTTTCAGCCCTAAATCCTACAGCTTTGCAAGAAGCAGGAGAGGAAAAAACAAACAAACAGAATGGTAGAAAATAGGAACCTTCGGCTGAAACCACACCCGGACAAAATGAACTTGTTTATCCCTCCTTAGCAGCACCCCCCCTCGAAAGAATCAGTCACGTGACGCCACTCCCCCCTCCCTCCCGCCCCATTTCTCGTGGCTCCTCCCGCAGCGCCGGCGCTTCTTTCTGCCGCCTTCAAAGTCACAAGACTTTACCATGGCCTTCTCTCCCAATCCTTCCGCCAGTTCCCGCCCCGCCCCCCCCCTCCGCAGCAAGCATACTTTATGCTCGCTCTTTAATTCCCTTACACGTATTCCCATTGCACAGATAGGTATGCTTCATCTCTTGCGGGAGGTCTAACTGCAGGAGGATGTCCACGGTAAACCTCCACGGTCGAGTTGGGAGGGGGGATGTCGGCGGGAACTCTTTTTCGTGGCGGAAGTCTCCAGAGGCTTTCTCTGCGCGCGGACTAGGGAGGGGAGGGGGAAGGGGGGGCGCTGTACGTCCAAGATGGCGGCGCCCTGTAGGCTGGAGGAGCTGTGAGAGGTAAACAGCCGAGGGGGAGGAGGCGGTGGGTGAGTATAAGGGTGTCGCTCTTCTCCTTCTCACCGGGGATCCAGGGGTGGCCCGCGCTCTGGAGGGCTTGTCAGGGAGGGTCCTTGCAGAAGGAGGGGGCGCTGGTGCTGGGCGTTTGGGAGGAGGGGGGCTTCGTTGGCGGCCCCCTCCTTCTTTTCTTTCCCCTTCTCTTCTCTTTTTCTTTGGGGGCCGGGCCCTGCGGGGACTGGCAGCTCTCTAGGAAGAGGGGGGGCGGGCCCCCTGGATTGCCCCTCGGACCGCGCCTGACCCCAGGCCCCCTAACCCCCCAGGCCCCGGTGTCGAGGGGAACCCTGAGATGATGGGCCCTCTTCCCTGCACCTCCTCCTCTCCCTGACTTTCCGGGAGTGATGGTTTCCCCGGGGGTGGGAAGCACTCACAGCCTTTCTGAGGAGATCAGGGCTCTTGACTCTTTAAGGGGTGGCTAGGGGAAAGGGCCGGGGACCCTATTAGAAGGGTCGAAGAGAGAATGAATGGAGGGATGTTAAGTGTCCTGTTGCACTTACTTCAGCCTCATTTTTTCTCTTCCTCCCCACCCTCTGCCTCGATTGATGTGTATCTTAATTAAATGTTTTGCACTTTGGGAGCTTCAGCGCATCCACCGGGTTTAAAGCTGGAAGAGACCTTAGAGACCGTCTAGTCTAACCCCCTCATTTGTCAAATGAGGAAACTGAGGCCCGACAGGAGAAGTGGTTTTGCCCGTTAATTGATGATGACGTTAAGGTAACTGTCAGCACAAGTAATACTTAAAATGCTATTTGCAGTGACTTCGAACCAACCACAGGTCACCCATTCATTCATTTAAGGGAGTAGAGGGTGAAGGAGACCTCTTTCTGGAGGTGGCTGCTTTATTAAAAGCATTTTCTTTGCTTGCAGTGATAAAGGATTTTTCTTTGGTGTCAGTGAATCTTTTGTTTTTCTAGTTCTGAAACCTTTACTGGGTTTCCTAAGTCTAGCTCATATATTTGCTTATGTCTAGATTCCCATTCTTGTCATTCAGAGGAGATGGAGTTAATCTTTTGTATTTCTTTTTCTTTTCTTCCTTTTTTTTTGGGTGGAGGGGGTGTGTTTCTTGTCAGTTTACAGGAGAAATAAGCTACTCCTCCACCAAAAACATAAAATGGCAATATCATAAACATTCTATTCTGTAGGTATTATGTAAATATGTATTATGTAGAAAACATTCAGGACCTTTTTAACAGGTTAGGTCTGGATGCCTCCTTTGCATATCTTATCAAGTCTTGTATTATACTCATTTGTGTACATATGGGATCCCTCCTGTTAAGTTATAAGAGTGGGGATTGTCCTTTTTCTTCCTTGTGTTCCCGTTGCTTAGCAGGTCACAGGCACTTTATAAATGTTTGTTGGCTTGAAGTATAAAGAATTTAATGCAGGAGGATATATTTATACTAGACTATTTGGATTCTATAGATAAGTACCCCAAAGAGAGAATACTTTTCTAAGATTAAATAAGCTTTTGTGTTAGACTTTCATAGCTAGTCAAGATATGTATTTACTAATATATGAAGAGTTTTAATCTGAGATGTTTTGTTTTTTGTAATCTTGGGATAAACTTGTAGTCTTCCGAATTCAAATACATCCTGGCTAAATGGAATTGTAAATTTCAGGAGGCAGTATTAAACCCAGTCTTCAGAGAACTCTTGATTTATGCAGTGAACACCTGTGATCCTTAAATTGAACATCTCTGAATAAACCCTGAATATGCAAATGTGTAAACTGATTTGGGGCTGTGTAGGGAAATATACTTTTAACAGTCATGCATCAGGCAAATGAGGCTACTCAACACTGAAACATTCTTTGCTATTGCCCTGGGGAGCTACAGAATCTTCTTATAACCACCTGGTATAAGCTTATGGGGTATTTATAGTAGATATAAATGGAAAATACCACCTTCTCCATACCTACTAAAGTTAATATCTTATCCAAAACACAAAACAACTGTAGTATGTCATTTCTAAGAAGACAGATGATGTCACCTTTTTTTGCTTCATGCATTTCTTGGTGGCATGAAGCACATGGCATGTTTTTAAGCCCTTAGTTAGAATGCCTTTGTGAGCTTACTTAACCTGTTCATTCTAGATGTGAGAACCCATAAACTGGCTCATCATGTAAATCATTGAACTCTCACTGACATATCAAAACAGTTCTGGTATGTGTGGTGTAGTGGTTATGCAGTGTATTACTAGGAAAGTCCCTGAAGCTTAAGTGTCTCATTTATCCAGTGAAACTGCTCAATTTCATCAGTATATCAGGGCAAATGAATAACTTAATAGCCATCCAGTTATGCCTACAGTAACAGTTTTCATGGCTTCCTTTTCAGTTTGTATTTGTCTTTTGTTTAGGTTAATCTTTATAATATGGCACTTGGATATAGATACTCAAGAAATCTTAGTTTGATTTTCATTCATCAGCAGACATTTAATAAGTGACTTGCATGCAGAGTACTGTGAATGAGGCTTTTTTTTTAACTTAAACTTGGTGCTAGAGGGAACCTAACACTATCTCAGACTCCTCTAGGAAACTGCCAAGGTGCAAATGTACCCTTTTATTACCTTGCCATAGTGGATTAAAGCTTTTACATATTCTTACAGTATTATCTTAAGTTCATATGTATCCCAAAGAGTCAATCCAGTGGCATACTGGAAACCTTGCAATGAAATAAATCAGTTTTTCCTTGAAGCCTATTAGCTGTGTGAACTTGTTGAGTCACTTAACTTTTCCTGCCTTCATCTTTAAAGTCAGAGCGTTGGACCAAATTATTTTTAATTCAACAAAGAGGTCCTTTCCAGCTCCAAGATTCTGTGATTTTAATTTTTTCTGAGGTTGGTCTTCTTACTATTCCTCACACACAACACCAAAGCTCCTGATTCCTTGCCTTTTCACTGGCTGCCTCACGCCTGACATACTCCTCCTCTTCATCTCCTGGCTTCACTGACTGCTTTCAATTCTCAGCTCAAATCCTGCCTTCTTTGAGAAGCCTTTCCTGGTCACCCCGACTCCAATGTATTTTCTTTGAGATTATCTCCAATTTACCTTATCTGTTTCTTGTATGTACATACTCATTTGTATATTGTCTTCCCCACTAGAATGTGAGCTCCTTGACAGCCAGAACTGTTTTGCTTTTGTATCCTCAACACTTAGTATATTGCATGACACATAGTAAGTGCTTAATAAATGCTTCTTGACTTGAAGGAATCCATAATTCTAGCTTGCCTCATCAAACTGCTAATGGCTTTATTATATCAAAAACACTAGACTTTACTTGTTGGTGATATTTTTATACATTTAATGGCCTAGAAAAATTCACTGCTCTGAACCTCTTTAAAATCTTATTGCTTAACTTTCTTTTTCTTACTAATTTGTGAATTCTTTGTAGTCCTTTTTTTAGGATGTTATTTTGTGGTGTTTATCTTTTAAGGGACTAGTTGTTTTTTCATTGGAATTAGGAGTATGGTTATATGTGGTGTGTACTCAAATAGAATTTCCTTTTTCCATACTTAAGTATTCACAAGTTAATACAATGCAATTTTCTTCAATCTGAATGAGAAGAGTCATCAGAAGTCATTTTATCATCATTAGATTTCTGAGTAGCTATGCCTTTGCTTAAATGCCTTAAGTGATAGAGACCATCTCAAATTGTTAGCAAATTTATCCCTTATCAAAAAGAATCTGCCTTCCTATGACTTCTCCCCTTCTCCTTACTCCCAGGAACAGCTGGTCCTAATTCTAACTTGTGGGACCAAGCAAAAGAAATCAACTCCCACCTTTTTTTAAAAAATAGCTTTTCAAATACTTGAAAAAGCAGTCTTCTTCTTCCTAAATCTTTTAGGCTGAACATCCCAAAGTGCTTTGACAGAGTCCCCTCATCATTCTGGTTATTTTGTAGTTGTAGATAACCTTCCTAAAATCAGGTTTCCAGAATGAGCCAAAATGTGACCCAAATGACTTACCTGGACAGAGGTATATGACCTTCATTTTATATTAAAGTGCACATGGGCAAAAATGAACAAATATGTAGGCTTCCATTAAATTGATCTGAAAACAGGCCTAATCATAAACAATGTTATAATCTCCAGTTTCTCTGTTATTTTTAACATCTGTTATTTCAGGTAATAAAATAAGTAATGAATTTACCTTTCTAAACCTCTAGAGTCTAAATGCTATTAAGTTAGTAGTCATTTCTAATTTTTAATAAAAGTTCACAAAATCATGTCCTTTCCTCATGTAATCCTGTCTTTTGTTGTATAGGTGCCTCAGTGTCAATAAAGGGCAGAAGAGGGAGTCATAAAGTAAAGAGTGCTTCTGTGTCAGATGAGTGAGGAGGGCATTCAGCATTGCACTTCCACATTCTCCTCTTAAAGACATAACTTGGATACATGCCAGGCATGATAGTTATTCAAACCCATTGGTAAGGGTCTTATAAAATAAATAAAATGGTGTCTTAATAGTAATCTCATCTTGTGTGTGAGCAGCAAGTTTGCATTTTGGATACTCATTGTGTCAAATCTGGTATAGGAGAAGATGCAAGTTAAATAGCAGCAGATTTAGGGAAAGTAATGTGTTCAGGCATACTGCAGTAATCCATCACTACCTGCTTTGACTTCAGCTGTTTACACAGTGTAATGGTAAAAATGCAGAAGTGTATCGATGTTAAATCATTATAGGCATTTTTAAGAAGTAAATGTTTCTAATACTATAAAGTAGCAAGTATACTTTGCACTCCTAATGCATCTTTGTAGTAATAACTTCTAGATATATTACTATTTTTTAAAAATTGGCAAGCTCTAATAAGCATAAATTAATTTCTTGAATGACTAGCAGACAGGAAAGTCCCCAGTTGGTTTGTAGCTGGCAGCTTTCTTTTAAAGATGGCCCTATGGACCGCAAAGACTGTAAACCATTTTGTTTAAGCCCCTAGGCTAAAAGATTAATTCACTCTTCCCTGGCAGTTAAATTTTTGGTTATGCTTCTGATTTTTAAACAAGGTGCCACTTAAATCATATTTTGAAGAGTGAAGAACTTTACCTTTCAAGAATAGGATCTGTTTCACAGCTTCTAAATAATTGTCAAACTTTACAATACACTTATGATGGAAACTAGTCCATTTTTGGTGTATTTGAGTGTTGCAGGACTACTCTTCAAGAATTATATAATACTGAGTTTCTTCTTTGCTTGAACCTAAAAGCAAGTATTTATTTTAGTATTTCCAGTACCTTGCTTTCAACCTTTTTTCTTTAATGGACATTAACTTGACACCTTTGGCACTTATGTTTCAATATGTTCAACATATTGAAATGACAAGTTACATTTCTGATTCTGTGGACATCGTATAAGATCTCCAGGATTTTTTATGTCTGGTTCAAGGGACACAATGCTAAATAATCTCTCAAGTTCATACAGTAGTCACCTGTTTAGTGCGCTCGTGTTGGGGGGGGGAAGATAAGGAAGGGGCGAAGCATTCTTGGTGCTAGCAAATTGTCAGAATGTGACAATGCTGACTAATAATATGGCCAAAACTGTTGAGTTCTTGCCCCTTAAGACAGTTGACTGGAGTGTTTCTGAGTTCTTAAAATAAGGAGCAAAATTATCTGATTACTGTGCCAAAATGGCATGTATACTGTTGAACCTAGAAACTGGCAAGTTGGAGCTCTCTACTGCCCCTATTAATGTGACCTTGGAAGGTACTACAGCTGAAGAGACAACTTTAACACATGACCACAAACTTTGGCAGCTTTAACTAACAGCTGTTTTACTCTATGGCAAGCAGTGTTGTCTTTTTTTTCTTCCTCTCTTTCATGGATCATTCAGTACTGTTCGAGATACTTGGTATCTTTGGGAATATAATCAGGGCAAATGATATCTTATGCTTTTGCATTCTTTTTTGCTAAAGAGAAATATGAGAGAACTTTGTACACAGTACAACACACTGATTATCATAGTATATCCAAATTTTCCTTGGCCTTTAATAGAAGTGTTGACATAACAGAGTAATTTTCCCTTCCTTTCCATTGTATCAATTTAACTCATTTCATCGAGTGAGTTGCTCTTTTATATTTATACTCGGCAAGAAAGGAAAAAACAGGGGCAGCTGGCTGGCGAAGTGGGTAGAGCTCTGGCCTTAGAGTTATGAGGACCTGTTCAAAAATCTGGCCTCACACACTTGACACTTACTAGCTGTGTGACCCTGGGCAAGTCCCTTAACCCCAATTGCCTTACTCCTCTCCCCCCCACTCAAAAAATGTTGTGGACCCTTTAAAAATTTTTTTTAAAAAAAGGAAGAAACAAGATTTTAGGGGAGAGTAAAGTTCATATCTATAACTTGCATTTTCCATGCTACCTCATAATGATTTTCTAGGTACTGTTAACTTTGACAAGTAGCTCTTTCTAAGGAACATATGAAACTTTCTTCCCTGAATCCTAAGAGCTCCATGACAGTATTTCCACATAAAACACTTTTTAAGGCATTTGAGATCCTTTTTTGAACTGCAAATGATAGCTGATAGGTTCAAAATTCATAGCTATTACTTAACTCATGCAGTTGAAAAATTATCTTCTCGTAAGTAAGGATGTAGGAAAAAGACTTTACAAGTTCATACTGCTAGACAAGTGTGGTGGTATGTGCCTATGATCCCTGGTACTGGGGGAGGCTGAAGTTGATGGGTCATTTGAGCTCAGAGTTTTGAGCTGTACTTCCAGCGTACACTAAATAGGGAGACCCAGTCTTCCTTCCCTGCCCCCCCCAAGATTATATTTAGGTCATATATGAATAAATAGGTATTACCTTAAAATTCATAGCTCCTCTGCATTCAGATATGAAAACAATCCACTTATGAACCGCAGAAATGAGACCTACATGAGGCTGCTTTAAAACTAGAGAAAATGTTGCTCTTCCCTCATCCGTTCCCACCTCCCATAATACTTTGCTAACATCTCTCTTATGGTAGCTTCACATTATAAATTCTAATGTAGTTTTCTTCTCCATAACTAAAACACAAGCTTCTGAGGGTACAGACAATATATTGAGATTTTTTTTTTAATCTCCTAAGACCTAGCTCAGTACCTTGCATGTATTAGGCACTCGATAAAGAGTTCAGGGTTCTTAACCTGGGGGTTCATGAACTTTTTTCTTAATATTTATAATTTTCATTATAATTGGCTTCCTTTAGAAGTCTATGTATTTTTTTATGCATTTAAAAACATAATGAGAAGGAGTCTGTAGGCTTCACCAAACTTCCAAGGGGGTCTGTGACACAAAAAAGATTAAGAACTCCTGTTTATTGTTGAGGTAAATTTCTGTAATTCACTGTTCCAACAAATTGAGTGCTTATCATATTCAAGGCACTATGTTACATACCATGAGGGATTCAAAGATTGTCAACATCCTTGATTTTTGAAACTTAGTCTTGTAGAGGAGAATAAGGCAATGATTATTACACAAAGTATAATGTGAATGTATAGTAAGTGCAATAAGAGGAGGGGTATAGAAATTAAGAGGCAGAAGAGATTGCTGGAGGAGAGAAAATCAAGAAAAGCTTTGTGGTATAGATGGCATTTTAGCTAGGCCTTGAAAGGTAGATAGAAGTCAGGATGTGAAGAACATTTTCAGGTAGAGGAAACCGCACTAACAGTCAGAGAAGGGCAGGATGAATTGATAGTGGTGAATAGTCCAGTTGAAGGAGTTTAGGAGGAGATGTGGAATAGGATTGTGGGAGACAAAACTGGAAAAGATTCGGGTGTGGTGTATAAATGATCACAACTTCATCCTTCTGTTGCTATTTTTTTAGGTTGATGATATAGACTGGGATTAATATAAATAAGGAGTGTGTATAACTCAGTAGAGTAGACTAAGCCGTTGACTAAGCTACGTATAGACTCGAGGTCTTGTATGCTAATCCTAGTTATCTACTTGATTGAGTTACCTGGGATAGAAGCTTTTTCTATCTGAATGTTTGTCTGCCCTATTGAAATGGACCTGCCTCATAGTATTGTAGAATAACTTATGTACATCATCTAGTAATAGAGAATTGTTATTTTGAGTACTAGAAAATGTCTGTACAACCTTGATGTACAATCTTTCCTATCAACCGGATCAGTAGGTTTAAAATGGTTAAAGATCTGCAGTCAGTTTAGTTTTGACCAACATTGGTTATTTTTTAATAACTTAATTGATTCCAACCTACTGCTCTTCAAGGCTTAATTACTAGGTAAATATAGAATATCATTCATAGAACCCCACTTTCAGTGGTTTATTCATACTGAATAAATATACACCAAGTAAGCTTTTGCCCTTCTGCTTCATAGGCTATTTCTGTCCTCCCTGAACTTGACTTAGGATACCTGCATTACAGTCTGGTGGGTATAGTGCCCCAGTCAAAGTCCTCAGTCTTCACTGTACCAGACATCAGAAGTGAGAGCCCCTCAGGGTTTAACTCATTGGGTAAGTGGTGAGATGGGGAAGAGGAAGAGGGGAGAGAAAGCCAGCAATGTGACATGAGGGGTCAAAAAGCTAATGTAATCCTAGGCTACATGAGTAGAAGTAAAATCTATTTCAAAGGAAACACATGCCCTACCATACTTTACATTGATAAGACAATATTTTGAGCATTGTGAACAATTTAGGCTGTCACATTTTAAGAAGGTCTAGATCTTGTGCAAAGAAGGATTACCAGAGCATTGAAGGGTCTGGAAAACATGTCAGGTGATGAATAGTTGCAGGAACTTAGGATATTTAGCCTGGAGAAGAGGAAAGTGGGGGCAAGGAGGGTGGGCACAATAACTGGTTTTCACCGTTTATAAGGCTGTCATCTGGAAGAAAGGTTACTTACTTGAGTAGATGACTTCTAAGGTCCCTTCCAACTTTAATATTCTATGAGCACATTTTATTATAAGATTAGTGTTCATGCTTATTTAGTGTTTTTGTTGTTGTTGTTGTTGTTTTTTTCCTTTAGAGATCATGAAAGACACCAGGTTGGCAGCACTGGAAACTGAAGTACTAATTGTCCATAGAACAGGTAGAGCATAATCTCTTGTGGTTTGTCATTCTCATTTGGGGGCACAATGCTTAATGTTGATTTTGGCTCACTTCCCCCACTAAGGGGGAGTATGTTAGGGTGTCATCTGTAGTAGAATAGTGTGTATATATTTTAAGGAGTTGAGAATGAAATTGTATCTGGTATGAATATATATGTTGGTAATTGCTAATGTAAGTCACCCAGTAGTGTTAATGTTGTGACATTTATTACCTTCATGTAACTAAGCTCAGGTGGATAGTAATGATCCTATGAGGTAATAAACCTGATATTTTTACCTTAGTAATTTCTGCTGTTTATGTGGATTTTGTTCATTATACACTAAGAAAAGCACTGTGGTACAGTGAAAAGAACACTGGATTTTGAGTCAGAGGACAGGGGTTCAAATCCCATCTCTCAGTACTTGTTAGACCTTTCTAGGCCTCAGTTTCCTCATCTGTAAAATGAGGAGGTTGGACTAGAGAACTTCTGAGGTCTCTTCCAGCTTCAAATTTGTGATTCTGTGAAAATCTTTGTTATTGAATTGTTTTCAGTCATGTCTAACTCTTCATGATCCCATTTGGGGTTTTCTTGGCAAAGAATCTGGAGTAGTTTGTCATTTCCTCCTCCAGCTCATTTTACAGATGAGGAAACTGAGGCAAACAGGGTTAAGTGACTTGACCAGGGTCTAGTAAGTGTCTATGGCTCCAGGCCTGCCACTTTATTCACTATGACACCTAGCTGCCCCCTGTGAAAATAGGTGGTTTTCTTCTTTTTATCAGACTAAGAAGCTTCTCTGAGTTCTGTCATTTCTTTTTGCAAGCCTCTTATTTTTCTGTGCTTCAGAAAAAGGGATTTTCTACTAGTTGAGATTGATGCTCACGAGCAGGTTGGCTGCAAAGTGTTGAATTTTTCAGCCAAAGGAATTCTTGAATTGTTGTTATATAGTTGTAGAGAGCCTGAGGTCTGAGTCAGTGAAGGGAGAGCTCACAACAATAAAATCACAAATCTTTGTAGTATTAAGAATGCTAGTAGGAATTGTGTCTAAATGTTCAACAAGGTGATAAGTAGCTAACTTAAAACTCAATCCAGTTTTCCGTTTGATTTACAAAGAACATTTGGCCCAAAGGCTTTAATTCTTTTGGGATGGGGAAAATCAGATTTTTTAAAAAATGAATGAAAAAGCGCCAGAAGGCAAATTCAATAACAAATTCAATATTTGGATGCCAACTGTGTATAACTTGTATTAGACACCGTAGGAACAGGTTTTATAAAATATATAGTTTCTATCTTTTAGTTTATAATCTGAATAGGTGAATAAGATATATATGTAGATAGATGTGTGTATATATGTATGTAGATATAGATATGTGTATGTATGTGTATAGATTGATATATATACACAGAGAAAAATACGTAGTAAAACGCATTATACATAGCAAATGGAGAGTTCAGATATTAGGTGTTATAAAAGTGTAAAATGGTTGTGATGGACAGCACTGTAAGGAAAACATGTTAAAGAAGGGCTTTGAGAATAAGATGGAAGGAGGATATATTTAAAATAATAGCTAATATTTATATAGTGTTTTAAGGTTTACAAAGAGGATATATTAAAAGTAGTGCTTTAAAATTTACAAAGCACTTTACAAATATCTCATTCCATTAAAATTTATTTAAAATTAATTTCCTAATTAGAAGGCTTCTGTGACTGGGAAGCTCAGTTATATATACTTGACTACTTTTTAACCTAGCTGTTGATTTCCCAGGAACAGAAAGGAACATTTTGGAAATAATTAAGTGACCTAAAAAACTAGATAGACAACTGTTGGAGTTGAGTGCTTAATCTTCTTAGAACTGGTTTAAATATCCTACTTAAGCAGAACTTCTACCCTACTTTTGCTTTACCTTCCTTTTCTTAAAAGTTGGGTGGAGTTGTTTCTTTCCTAGTCCAAACTGTGTACGTGGGGCAACAATGATTATGTTTTTTACTGTTAGTACAATGAAGATCAGTCAAATGTCATAGCTATTTTTATATATACAAGTGTTAGCTGGGGCTAAGTGTTAGATAATGCACATGATCTTCACATCTTTTTTACTTAGGGCTTAAAAATAAGATCTAAACCTATGTGCAAGGGACCTGTTCCTGAAGACAATGTGACTATGTAGTAGATGAGGGGCTACTTGAGTTGAACAGAATGCTGTAATTAGATGAGCTAAGTGTTCAGAAATAGTAATGTAGCATTGTCAGATTTTCTGAGTTAATCACTTACTGCAACTTTGACGACTCAAAACATACCTAAAATACCTAGCACTCTGCTGTATACTTATCAGATGCTATCAGATATGTAAGACATTAGTGATCTGGATCTGCTGTATTCTACCTCCAAGTTGGTGTTTTCAAACAGCTGGAAGAGGTTTATTGATCTGAGTGAGTAACACACACACACACACACACACACACACACACACACACACACACACACACCCCACCCCACCCCACGATTTACTGTTTATTATTCATGATTGGCAATAGCCAATCATTTTCTTTTGAACTAAACAGCATCTTATTATTCTCTAATTATATGTGGTTAAAAGGCCAGTAAGTATCATTGTACTTGGCTATTAGACTTGGAACATCCTTCAACCATGCAATTCTTAAATGAGTAATGTAAAAATCTTGATCAAGTCATGTGCTGCTTGTTGTATTGTTACTTTTTTCATCTCTAAGACTTAGGATATACTTGTAGCTATGACAGGGTGTTTATTAGAATATAATATCAAAAGTATTTAATTTTCAGGGGTACAGATGTTGTTATAAAAATGAATATTGTTTGTGGAATGGACATTCTGTTTAGAGTCAAAAGACCTTCTATTTCCTGCTTTGTCTCTTCTGTAATTAGATCTAACTTTTCCTCATTTTGTGAAATAAAGGGTTTGCACTATATGACCTATAAGGTCCCTTTCAGTTTTAAAATCCTTCAAATCTGTAGTCATCAGTTTTAAGTTTAGAGCCCTTGAAATTACAGGCTTTTTTGTGTAATCTGTGAATCTCAGATGCTTGTGTGACCAGGGCATTTACCAATCAGCTTTTTAAAATACTGTATGCTTTTGATTTCACAGGAAAATTCAGCTGATTTTTATACTAGTTTTTTAAGACAGAAAAGAAAATTCACCTTTTTCCTTGGTTACTAAACTCTGTAAGTATTTTGGGTTAGTTTTATTGGCTGGCTTTGTTTGTTTACTTTATTAAAATGCTCAACAGATGTTCTGTTTTTAAAGTTAGTATCTGAGTATGCAGAATTTGGGACCATACCCAAAAAGAGCATTGTATTCTTTTAGAGGATTATTATGTAAATCCCTGTTTGTAGTACTTGGAATCATAGTTTCATAAAGTTTAGATATTTATGCTTTGAAAAATTTGAAGGCTAGGATAATTTTTTGATTTAGTTATATATTGGGATTAGCTAGCAAGATATTAGGTGCCTAGTAAGATTAGTTGGCATTTTAAAGCTTCATTTTTAAAAGTTTTATATCTGAACACCAGTAATTTTTGAACCATCACTTACTTTCAGGTGACTGTTACATGCATGGCACAGCATTTGTCCTGGTGACTAAACATACCTCTCCCATCAAAGCCAGTCGTGACCTCTCTGGTAAAATACTGTAGGAATAGACAGTCTTATAAACACTGTACCATCAAAATTTAATGTTATGGTGATGAGGTTCTTGTTTCTTTTTGGGGTAAATTTCAGGATTGTTTTCCAGTTAGTACTATGGTTCCTGGATTTGATGGCATCTATATACATTGACTTGCTTATGCTATCGTTGACTTAATTTTGTACTGTAATTCTATAGTTCTTAAATTAGATTTGAGGGTTTCTTTTTTATATGTGAAATTAAAAGGAAATGCTCTCAGTTTTGTTCTTCTGAATATATTCAGTTCTAAAGCACAGAGAAACATCAGCAAAGCCCTAAACAAAGATGGCAAGTATCCAGTTATCTTGCCTACTACCGTCAAGGCTAATTGACTTGGACTAGCCAGCTTGTTTCTGAGTTTGTAGATTTTTAAAAATTAAAAAACTGACCTCTTCCTGCTTTACCCAAATGCTTGTTTTGGTGAAAGCAGAAATAAGTTCCCGTTTCAGAAATTTCTAAATGACTTGAGTAAGATTTTTTCCTTGGCTTCTGATTTAAGCCTTTTTAGCAATTCTTTCAAAGTCTCCAGTGTAACATTTCGGAATAGAAATGAGTGCCCTAGAAGTTATGTAAGTCTTGTACTCCATTTATAATGGAGTTATTGCTTTTTTAGAACCATTTCTGCAACTGAGTCTTATAGAGTTGATTCATACCTGAATTGTGACATGGCTTTGTGATCACTTTTCTAGGTGGGCTTAAGTTTCTTCCCACATCGTGATTTGGAGTCAGGAACACATCTAAATATTTTAATTGACTTTCTGGCTTCTTAACTCCTGATTCAGAGGAATAAATCAATGAATGCCACAAGGTTTTTGCTTGAGAATTTAAAGAATTTGGATTCTTGGATTAGCATCATTGCATTGGAATACTATATTAGTTGTAGTCAATTACAACTGACTGTTTTACAAGTTAACGTTAATATGAAATGGTGTTGTTGTTCAGAGAAGCTAGTTAATGTTTACTCTTGGCTTATTCAGGGAATCATTGCAATATATACTGGCTATATTTTTATTATTAACAAATCTATATGAGATACAATAATTGGTGCCAAACAGACAACTTTAAAGATTAAAGCAGGCAGGTATGATTATAGATGTTTGTAGTGACTCTTATGATAATTAGTGTGTCTTTTATGTGCTCTACCTTTGATAAGGTGTGAGTATTGAGATTTTTCCATCTTCTTGTCTTGTTTCATTTGACCAGCAGCAGATGTGTTTTGAGATGTCTGAAGAGGGTTAAGGAAGTAGAGTATGAGGTAAAAAAAAAACAAAAAGGGTAGACCCAATTAACCTGAGACTGTGGTCTCAGTATCTTTAGTGTTCTAACCAACAGGGAACCAAGCACAGAGACTGAGATAGATATTGAAGGAAAATTTGTTGTTGTTCAGTCGTTTTTCAGTTGTATCAAACTCTTTGTGACCGTTTTTGGGTTTTCTTGGCAAATATACTAAAGTGGTTTGCCATTCCCTTCTCCAGCTCGTTTTACAAATGGGGAAACTGAGGCAAACAGGGTTGAGTGACTTACCTGGAATCCCACAGCTAGTAAGTGTTCTGTTGCTGGATTTGAGCTCAGGAAGATGAGTCTTCCTGATTCTAGGCCTAGGGCTCTATCCACTGCGCCACCTAGCTGCCGAGGGGAAAACATGCCCATCTAAATTTCTGTCATTAACTCACTATCCTAACACTAATGATCTTTTTCTAGTTATTTCATTAACTGGAACTAATATTTGGTCATAAAATTGAAAAGAATGAAATCACATAGACCCTAATGTCATGTAAAAAAAGTGATTATCAGTAGTTTTTCTCTTCCCTACTGACCATCAGCGTCAGTTTTGTGTTTCAGCAATCATTTGGAAATGAGGAGCTAGTGGGTAATGGTACCATTTTCACATGAATAGTTTTCTCTTTTTTCCTCAGTCTGGTCACAAATGAAGAACCTGTGGAAATTTTAGTGTGTGTACCAAAACTAGTATGAGCACATACATATAAGATAATGGCACAGCAAGCAAATATTAGTGAACTCCTCTCCATGCTGGATTCCTCGGCTCTGGGTGTGTTAGATGACATAACAACTGTCTTTAAAGAGAACCTCAATTCTGGTAAGTAGCCAGTGTGAATAGTATATAGTTTTTTGTTTTTTCCCAGTCTCACCTCTTTGTGCCAATCTGGAGAAAACAGCCTACCTCTAAAGTCTCCTTCCTAAGAGTATTTATGAATTCAGGATTCATGGCTTCTACGGGGGCAAACAATTAGGCACTTACTAAAGTTAGAATTTTAAAAAACTAGAAATTGGTTTAGTTTATATGATCTGAATTGAAGTAGCACAAATTTCACACAATTTTGCATGATAATTTGCCACAAAATTATTCATAAAACTTAAATACAGAATGGAGCTTATTTCACATTGGTGGGAAGAGAAGATATTGAGGTATAATTTAGGTATTTAAGAAAAAAAGCCATATTTAAGCCATATTTCCGTTTATTTAGACCGTGGTCCTATGCTTGTAAATACGTTGGTGGATTATTATCTGGAAACCAGTTCTCAACAGGTGTTGCGCATCCTGACTACATTGCAAGAGCCTCATGATAAGGTAACTTCTTGATATTTGATGGTAGAACACTGAAGAAATTATTAAATAATGACGTAATTTTTAGGTGGCATAGTGGATAGAGGTTGGGCCTGGAGTCAGGAAGATCTGAGTTCAAATCCAGCCTCTGTTCCTTACCAGCTGTGTGACCCTTGTTTCACCTAATCACTTAACCTCTGTTTGCCTCAGTTTCTTTTTTTCTAAAATAGGGGTGATAATTATAGCACCTGCCTCCTAGGATTGTTATGAGGATCAAATGGGATAATAATTGTAAAGTGCCTTAGCACAGGGCCTGGCATGTAGTAAGTGCTATATAAATGTTTGCTATTATTATTACATTCAGTACACTAAATGTTTCACATTTGGCTTATCAGAGGTAAAATTGTGACTAATTACATGCAGGAATAACTTTTTAATGCAAATTAATTGAAAAGTTGTCAGAAAGCATGTTTAAAATGCACTAAACACTTTGCTGTTTGGAGGAATCTTATGATCCTTTTGTAAAGAATAAATCATCTCTTAAATTTCCTGTTTGTAAATTCAGATTTTCGTAATTTTGCATGGATAGACTCTTATATAAGAAAAGCCTATGGATGCTGTTAACCTATAAAGCCATTTGTTAAACCTGGTGCCAAAAGATAGGACAACAAAGGAGGGTTCTACTGTATCAATACCTGTTTCCTTTTTCCTTGGTTGGTAGAATATAAAAACTTTTTTGTATTTGCAAAACTTGGAACTTTGTGATTTTGAGTGTGAGAAAATTTTCTAATATTTTTTAAAGGATTCTAATAACATGCCACTTTTGTCAATTTTTATTGCAGAAATTGTGTATTCTTGTAATTTTAATTTGTGGTGATTCATGATGCTTATTTTGGGTTAAAATATGAGATAGGTCCCCAAAATGAAGGTCAAAGAAAAGATATTTTTAATCATTACTCTCTCTCTATTGTCTTTTGCATCAAAAAACAGATTAGAATGATTTAGACACTTGAAGACTGCTAATAAAAGTAATCCTTTTTCTAAGGGTGTCACATTTATTAGTTCACATCTGAATGTATGAAATAAACTTTGTCTTTTCCATTTTTAGCACCTCATGGACAAAATTAATGAATATGTGGGCAAAGCTGCTACTCGTTTACCCGTCCTCTCTTTACTGGGGCATGTCATAAGACTGCAACCCCCGTGGAAGCATAAGCTCTCTCAAGCGCCTCTCTTGCCTTCTTTGCTTAAGTGTCTCAAGGTAGGCATCCTGAAGATTTGAATGATTTGTTCTATGAGCTTAGTCTCTGAAATACTGAATAACTTGGAACCACTGAGCTCGTTAATAATTATAGTAGGTAATGCATCGTAGTTGAAAGCCTTTTGGAATCAGAGTCAGACCTTGATCTTCGTCACAGTTCTGTTGCTGGTGTAACGAGTGTCTTCACCTCTGTAAACCTCAGTTTCTTCAGCTGTATAAAGGCAATATCTGCCTTATTTATCTCAAGAGACTATTCAGTTTAAATAAAAATGCATACGAAGCACTTTGTAAACCATAAAGTACTATAAAAATAAGATAGTTTTATTTTAAGCCAGACTGTTCTTTAAAATTCAGCAATTTTGTTCAAGTATAGTGTAACATGTCTTGTGCTCATTGAATTTTATGATACCTGGAATACTGTGGATGCTTGATGTCTGAATTTCTTAGCCAAGTACAATAAAACTTATTAGTTATCTCTGTTCAAAAGTTTATAACTTAAAGCAGTTTTTATTCTAAACTTGATACTCTTTAAGTTGTTTAAAAACTGGCTGGTTAGTTCATCTTTTTTATCCCTTGTGTAAAAATGAATGACATTTTATGTAGGTGCTCTGTTGGACTAATCATAAAAGAGTTTAAAAGACCTTACTAAAGTATTTGCTATATATTCACAGCTTGGTTAATTATCCAGGCTTTATTCTTATTCACATTTGTTAATGGCATGACTTGATGAATTTCAGCATATTTTTTTATGTACACAAAGAAGCATTTTGTAGCCTGGGCAGGACTGTGGAAAGATATATTTTGATACCTCTCTGGTAATAGAAGACTAAGAGCCTTTAGAGGAGACATTGTGGTACAATAAAAGGATCCATGAATTTGGAGTCAGAGGATCTAGGTTTGAATCTTGGCTTTGTCACTGCTTATTGACCTTGGACAGATCACTTAACCTTTCTGGTCGTCAGTTTCCTTATTTGTAAAATAAAGGCTTGGTATTAGGTGATTTCTGAGCTCTGGATCTCTGGGTTGTCTACATTTGTGATTTTATGAGTAAAAGTTACAGATTTTAGAAATGTAATTCAGAACTCTTTAGTATGATAACAATCATTAGATTCCTTAGTCTTGAATTGATATCCTCTTGCCTAACATTGTTTCTTGAATATTTAACTTCAGTTGCTTGGCCTATAACTTACGCAGTAATCATATCTCATTTGAGACCTAGTGACACTCTGAATTGATTTCTTTTCTCATGAGTTCAGTTAAATACTGCACTCTTTTGAGTTATTTGGTGATGTTAGAAAACCAGAGATTTTGTCAGAGGTGGCCTTACTCTCCTGATATCCTTTTTTTGTCTGTCTTAATTGGTTTCTTCTTAGATGATCTTATAACTCAATAGTCTTTTAAATAGAGAAAAAAGTATTGACTTTTTTCTTTAGTAATGAATGACTTGGTTATGAATGGTAACATTTACCACCATCAGTGAACATGGAGTAAATTACTACTACATAGTTTAGGATTTCACTGACTGGAATCTGAGATATGTAGACCAACCCCGAGAACAACATATGATCTAGTTTTGATGTAACATTGGAAAGGCCTAGTGGTGAAAACTTTTTATGCTTTCATTTGAATGCCATAAATAAGTCCTAAAGAGTTAGGAATTGAAATTCACTATATGATGTTAACCACTCATCCTGAAAGCTATAGAGGTGTGATGAGAACTTAAGACGATTAACATAGAGCTGTTAAAAGTTATTTATGTTGAGTCTCTTTTGAGTTTATCTCTAAATCTTTAAGGAAAAGTTTCTAAGCTAGTAATGAATGGTTTTCTAGTTTGAAGCTCACTCATTTAGATCCTCATCAGGTAGTATGTAGTGCTGGTGCTAGTCTTGTTTCTAGCAGGTTGTCTTCACCCTTCTCATTTGGCTTTTCCTCTCTGCAGACTGATACAGATGTAGTAATACTCACAACGGGAGTTTTAGTCTTAATAACCATGCTGCCAATGATTCCACAGTCAGGCAAACAGTACCTTCACGACTTCTTTGATATTTTTGGCCGTCTTTCATCATGGTGCCTGAAGAACCCAGGTAAGATTCTTGTAGAATTGCATATCAGACACTAGGTGGAGCATATGAGTTTTTTCCCTTTTTATTCTATGGTCTCTCATCTATTTGGTATGAGCTCAATTTGAGTGATTTACAAATGCTCTTGGAAATTAGCAATAAATAGACATCTGATAAGCCACTGAGAGATCCCTGCCTTTTAGTATTCTTTGTTCCAGAAAGGTTAAGTGTCAGATGAGAATCTGTGGTACAGCACAAGATACCTGATTTTTTTAGTAGTTAAACTAGGTATAATAGACAAGTGTGGGAGCAGAGACTTTCTTTGATCCCCAGCACTTAGAGTGGTGCCTGACACAGTAGGTGCTTAATAAATGCTTGTTGATCAACTTAAGCCATTACAAAATGGAGTTAATTGAGACTACTCTGCATTTTTGTACTGTACAGAAGACCCAGCTTTGAGCCTTTTTGGTATGCTATCCTGCTGATACCCTTAGAAGAAACCTTGTCTTTTAATGCTAAGAAATATTTATTTATGGGGCAGCTAGGTGTCGCAGTGGATAGAGTACCAGTCTTGGAGTCAGGAGGTCCTGAGTTCAAATCCAGTCTCAGATACTTGACACTTACTAGCTGTGTGACCTTGGGCAAGTCACTTAACCCCATTACCTAGCAAAACAAAACAAAAAAAAGAAAGAAATATTTATATATGTAAAGAGAACAGGGGGAGAAATGGTATGTACTAATTAGAGATGTGGTTTCAAGAGCTATAGAATTTTCTACATATCTGCAGATAGCACGACTCCATCAAAGTGACTCATAAGCTTATAAGCATGTGATAAATTCTTAGTCTTCTACCAGTCCCAGTGTGAGACATTAGCACTGCAATGATAGAATGTGTAACATTTTAATATCCTACACAGGAGTAGAATTTTTTTTTCCACAGTGGAAACGTGGAAAACAGCTATTGTGATGCCAGCTTTTTTTTTATTAGTGGAATATTCTTTTGAAGTTGGGAGTCATTATTTTGTACAGTTTGCCCCTTTTTATGGATGACTCTTGTCTGTTCTGGGTTTGTGTCTCTAAGCTTGGTGCTTTTCAGTCAAAACTTTTGGTTCAGCGAGATTTTTTGACAAATGTGTGTGTTATCTGCTTTTTCTCATGTGCCCCACTATTAGTACTTTCTAAAGAGTTTAATTTCTCTAGGTCATGTGACAGAAATTTATCTCGTCCATCTTCATGCCAGTGTTTATGCTCTCTTTCATCGCCTTTATGGAATGTACCCTTGCAACTTTGTCTCCTTTCTACGTTCTCACTACAGTATGAAGGAAAACTTGGAGACATTTGAAGAAGTGGTAAAGGTAAAGCATGTTTTACTGGTCTTTTTGTTGTTCAGTTATTTGAGTCATGTCCTACTCTTTCTGAACCCATTTTTGGGGTTTTCTTGGCAAAGATACTTGCCATTTTCTTCTCCAACTCATTTTACAGATGAGGCACTGAGGCAAACAGGGTTACCTGACTTGTTCAAGGTCACACAGCTAGTAAGTGTCTGAGGTTGGATTTGAAGATGAATCTTCCTGACTCCAGTCCTGGCCGTCTATCCACTGCACCACCTAGCTGCCTCAGACCTACTTATATAAAATAAATTATATGTAGCTTTGATCTGCAACTGTTCAAATGATAGAGATACTTTTGAAAAGAAGTGTGTGGGCTTTATTGCCTTAAGAAGAGTCTAAGTTTTCTATACCTATAGATTCTCCTAGAATTGACCACACATAGTTAAGCTTTTTCTCACATGGAAGCGTCAAAATTATCTGTCTTTTTTTCTTTTAGCCAATGATGGAACATGTTCGAATTCATCCAGAATTAGTGACTGGATCTAAGGACCATGAACTGGACCCTTGCAGGTACTGGAAACTTAAGCTGACTGATAACAAACCTTTTAAATAGTGCTTTAGAGATTGAAAGCTTTTTCTAGCAATAAAATCCTTTGGATTATTTGTGGAATGGGCTTTTCCTTTAATTAGTGGAAGTTATTGTTACACTGTTCTCCTAGAACTTTGGAACATTAGGAAGAAAATGTTTATTCCTGATAAGGCCTTGTTATTTGGACACTGAAAAGGTAGAAAATATGCTTAAAAAGATGAAGTAGAGTATTTTAGCTAGTTTTCTAGATTCAACATTTTCCACGATAAACTGAGGATGAATTGGGAGAAGCTTTAGGCTTTGATACGAGAACTTAGATTTGCCACTTGGTGTTGCTTCTTAGGAGTTTCCAAGTCTCCTGTTTGCTTCTTTGATAAGCAGACTCCTATAGTGCACTCTAATCAAGTGGAGTGTGCTTTTCCAAACTATATTTCATATATATTCCTAGGCTTTTGAAAATGGAATTGACTTAATATAGTTTTTTTAAAGCTAGTGAGAGACAGATTTGCAGGACAAATATGTAGCTGTTACTGTGCTTCCAAATCTCAATTGGGTTGAACTTGTGTTTCATGACTTTCAATTCTCAATTCTCTTGTTACAGGTGGAAGAGATTAGAAACTCATGATGTTGTAATAGAATGTGCCAAAATTTCTCTGGACCCCACCGAAGCCTCATATGAAGATGGCTATTCTGTGTCTCAGCAGATCTCAGCACGTTTTCATCATCGTCCAACTGATGCCACCATCAGCCCTCATGTTGACACACAGAATAGTTATGGTAAAAAGAGAAAGAACTCTACTGCTTATCTACTTTAAAACTTTTTTCTCTAGAAAACATTTACTCCTACTGGTGATTTAATTTTTTGTCTGTGATAAGGGTTATCAAAAACTTGGGCGGTCTTCCCAAAGCTTTCTAATTCAAACCAACTTCCTTACTCCCTTGACTTGATGCCATGTTAATGGCTTTGTAGCACTTATAATTTCAGGGTCTTACATTTTGATCCCTATATGGCAGACTACCAGTGATATCGCCAGACTCAAGAATAAATATCTTAGACTATTAGAAGAAAATATGTTGAAATGTTAAAAACAACTTTGTTCTTGCTTACAAGGGAATATCTACTTTCCAAACACTTTTATCCAGTTATGCACAATAAAGAAGGATCCGCTTGGCTATGGAATTAGTGTACTTAATATAGGATTAATACTTGTAGAAAGAGTTTATTAAACCATAAATTTATACCATAGCACTAATCAAAACTGTCATCCTCATTAGACTCATAACAAAGAATTCTGAAGGTTAACTGAACTGAATATCACTAAATCCTATTTATAATATTTATTTCAAGAACTTGTTAAATATTAGGCAGAAAATATTAGCACTCTGTCTCTAATGAGGCAGTGGGACCTTTTAGGAGATAGAGAATTAGATGATTTAAGAGAACTGTGTTCATTTAAAGTGATCTAAAACCAGATGTCAATCCCACTTATGTCTTTCATTTTAGGGAATGCTACTTCTACCCCTTATTCCACTCCTCGGCTGGCGTTATTAAACACGCCAGGGCAGCTACCTCAGGTTCTGAGTTCCACAACACGGCTGTCAACTGAGCCGTCACAAGTATGGTGCCTATTATCTATCTTTCTTTGTGTTGAAGCTGGCTCATTTGGGTTAGAAGTTTAATGTGTGAATAGAATATTTCACTGATATCAGAAATTATTCTTAAGATCCATGGCATAGGGGCAGCGAGGTGGTGCAATGGATAGAGCACTGGCCCTGAAGTCAGGAGGACCTGAGTTCAAATCCGACCTTAAACCAAACACTTGACATTCACTAGCTGTGTGACTCTGGGCAAGTCACTTAATGCCAATTGCCTTAAAAAAAATGGCGTAAATATCTAATTTGGTCTTGCCCCTTTTGTTAGTTTTGGCAATTAAAAATCCACCAAATACAATGCTGCTTTGATCGAGTTGTTTTAGTTACAGTGTGCCTTTTGAATTTTAACTACTCTGTCTTGTTCATGTCAAGGTTACCTGATGCTGTTAGAAGGCACAGACAATGTTTTAATAGACACACCACCTTTGGATTTGCTATTTCTTCACTATAGTTACCTAACATTACTAACTTTCTAGGCTACTATATGGAGCCCCTCTTCAGTCTGTGGTATGACCACTCCTCCAACCTCACCTGGAAATGTCCCACCTGAGTTGTCACACCCTTATAGCAAAGTCTTTGGTACATCTGGTATGTATATCTGAGACTATTTTTTATAGGTTAGTAAAAGTTAACTTTATAAAATATCTAATATGTGTAGCTTTACTGCAGATTTGAGAAGTGAATCTCTAGACATTGGTAAAGCGAGCTACTAGGGTTTTCAAAGCATGTAAACTGAACTTCCAAATGTGATGACTGCTGACAGGCATTCCCAAAAGAAGAATTGAATTATAAAAGTTTAACTGTGGGGTAATAGTTGAAGCTACAAATAATTAGAAGTTCACATAAGTAATTTAGCAAAGGATTCATAACTCCTCCATGCTTATCTTTTGATCAGGTGGGAAAGGAACTCCTTTGGGAACACCAGCAACCTCCCCTCCTCCTCCCTGCCATTCAGATGACTACGTGCACATTTCACCCCCTCAGGCTATAGTCATGCCCCCCAAGAAGGTAAATGCCAGGCTTGCCTAGCTGCCATCTTTTTCTCCTGCCTAATCATGAGGAGTTGCTTTTAACTTGATTTTATAAAGCCTAATTATACCAAATATGACTTTGGCCTGATATTTTGTCAGTTTTGAGTCAAGGTAGCTAGGCTAATCTTTAAATTCTTTGCCTAATTATATGGTGTAATTGTGGATTCTTCTCTCAAAACATCAGTGAGTATATACATAAACTTATTCTCTGTTGAAAATGGCTTTTTTTTCCTTCAGGAGGACAGACTGGATTCTGTGAGACCATGTCTACATAGACAACAACACCTTTCTAATGATAGAGGATTAGGTAAAATTTATCATTTGGCAATGATATTTTATAGTCTATCTTTCTTCCCTTGAGTCAAACCAGATTCTTCAGAGGCATAACTCCAGAAGTTAAAAGATAGGGGTTTGGAATGGGGCAAGTGAAAGACAAATGAAATTTTGAAATAATTCACAACATTGCATTTTTAGGGACCCTGGGCACCATAGTAAGTTAACAGCAGTCAAGTCTAACTTGTCTAAAATAAGCTTCATTTTTCATTTTCAAGTTCATTTTCAATGAACTGTTTTAAGTAGTTTGATGAACAGAGCTACATGAATGCCTTTTATCTTACCTCTCTTGGGAACTTAATCTTAGTGTATTTCATTTAGTGTTGAATCACTAATTTTGAAAACAGTGTAGCTAGATCATTTTTAAAGTTCTTAGCAGTCGGTAGGGGGAGCTCCAGAGAGATTAGCTCCATAGTGAGTATTTTCTAGCTTTCTCAAACAGGTGGGATAGATGTTGCAAATCCTTAGTTGTCTTGCAGGGAAGTAGGCTTATAGCTGTCAATGTTGTTATCTTTGTAAACTAATTTGTCCATTTTTTCTTTAGAAGAAACATCTGACAATAAGGGTTCTGTCACTTTAAGGGATCTTCCAGGGTTTTTAGTTGATCTAGACTCTGAAGAAGATAGTGTTGAGAAAGATAAGGAAGAAGGTAATGCATACAGAACTCTGGCCTGTCAACTGTGAGTGCTCCTTAAATGGCAAAATTTAAATGGCCTTATTCTGCCATAAAACTACTTTAATATTAGTATATGTACCCACTTAATTTTGTCTTAGAAAAAAAAGCTCTTCATTTCAGGTCTCCTACTAGTTAAATTGATACTGGTCTCCCATCTTGAGCCATACATAAACACTGCTAAATTATAGCACATACCCTAAAACTGCCCATCTTACAGTCACTGAACTTTCTGAGTTTTCTTCTTCCCTCTTTTCCTTTTAGCTGCAATATCAAAGGAGCTTTCTGAGATCACTACTTCAGATGCTGAGCCTGTGGTGCCTCGAGGAGGATTTGACTCCCCTTTCTATCGAGACAGTCTCCCATGTTCTCAGAGAAAGTCCCATTTAACATCTTCTAACACTCAAGGTCCCAGTGTGAGCACTGAACCTCTAACTTCCTCTCTGGACAAGCTTGGGCCTGACACACCAAAGCAAGCCTTTACACCCATAGATCGGCCCTGTGGGTGTGCCAGTGAAAGCCCTGCTGGTAACAGGGAAAACCAGACTTCACTGGAGACAAACATTTTCACACCTAGCCCTAAAATTCCATCTCAGAGAAAAGTAGGTTTTGGAAGTGGACAATCTCCCCCGTACGATCACCTTTTTGAGATGGCACTGCCAAAGACTGCTTATCATTTTGTCAGCAAGAAGACTGAAGAGCTGTTAAAAAAAGTAAAAGGAAACACAGAGGAAGATTATATGCCTTCCACTTCCCCAATGGAGGTACTGGATAGGCTGATACAGCAGGGAGCAGATGCACATACAAAGGAGCTGAACAAGTAAGTGACTTGAACTTGTTTCTAAACCCCCTTTTATTGTCTTCATTGGGATTATTCTACTCAAGCATGAGGAGGGACAGAAAGTAAGTGAAAAGTATGGAGAAGCTTGGTTGACTGTATGAGCTGGAATTTGATATAGAATATAAAATAAGTCAAGCCTGTCTTTTCTGGAAGTCTAGGAGGCCTAATAAATTAAATACTCATTACCTCAAATTTTATTGAATAGTGATTTTCATTACTTATTTCTTTGTTTTGAGTCTGTTGATTTCAGTATGTTTGATCATCCTGTGACTGTAGACATTTGAAAACAGATTGTGATGTTGAGTCTGATCAGTGCTTAGAATTAGATATAGGAGCACTAATTAAAAGTAATCTCTAACGGGATACCCCTTCATAAGCAATAAACCTTACCAGGTCTCAAAGGGCTCTTCTATTTACCTTTGATAAGGCAATTTCTAAAAAAAAAACATGAGTTAAATGTTATCATTGGGAATTCTTAATAGGAGGAATGGCTCAAATAAAGGGGAAAGGGGAACTTCAGAGTGATGAAATAAAATGTTCTAGGAGAGTTGTCTCCTAAAGGCAAGGTACTTAATTTTAGCTTCCAATCTAAACAGTCACTTGAGTAAAATCTTTCTTTGTAGGTTGTCTTTGCCCAGTAAGTCTGTCGATTGGACCCACTTTGGAGGTAAACTTATTTTGTTTTAAACCCAGACTAAAAATAACCAGCTCAAAAGGCCCCAGATATTTCTGTGTGCTTATTCTGTCACAGAAGTACATGGTAGGAAAATGATGATGACCTCTACCCCTTAAGATACAGTCATCAGACTTGCAGTGAGTTCCTGTAGTATTGCAAAGCAGGCCTTTCCTGTTTTTGAAATGTGGTAAGTGCCACTAATTCAGTCATTAGGAAAATTGATGGGCTATAGCAGATATTCTCTGCAGGTTTCCCTGGAGAAAGAAGTTATATGGAGAATTTTCACAGAAAAAAACATGGAGTACACTGATGGAATGTCTGGATAAGTAGAATAGGAATCTTGAGTTTGTAGCTGTAATCTTCATTGGCAAAAAAATACCCCCAAAAGAACAGCCTATGTTTGTCCAGCTAGTCTTTTTAAGAGAGGGGACATAGGTACTGGACAGTTAAGTCTTGCTTCTTATCCAGTGAACTGGCTGGCTCTGTGTAGCCAGTGGGATATTTCCAAAGATTATGTGATTAGTTTTGTTCCCTAAGCTTTTCTGCCACTAAAGTATACCAAATCTTCATGGTTAGCTCAAGATTGAAATGTTCAAAAGAGGTGCTCAAGCATTTGTTCCCTACCTTTCACTCCTGGCTTAGGCTCTCCACCCTCAGATGAGATTCACACCCTTCGGAACCAATTGCTGTTACTGCACAACCAGTTACTCTATGAGCGCTTCAAAAGGCAGCAGCATGCTCTCCGGAACAGACGGCTCTTACGGAAGGTGATCAAAGCCACAGCTCTGGAGGAACACAACGCTGCTATGGTGAGGCTTTGTGCAGGTGCCCAACCCTGGTCTGAATATGCAGTAGCAGTGGGCTAGTTGAAAGAGCATGAGACTTAGGAGTCAGCCGACTAGGCTCTAGTCTTGGCTGGGTAATCATTTGTTTCATGACTTGAAGCAGATCACTTCTCTTCTCTAAGCCTTGGTGTCTTTATCTTTTTTTTTAAACAAATTAAACAACATTCTTTATACGAATCATTATATTTCCCTCCCCAAATGTAGAGTAAAATGAGATTCTTCCCTCATTTATCAACAAACTTGTCCCTATAATCCATTAATGAGTAAATGGTAGCAGATTTCATTTATTCACCTGTCATACTGTAGTTGAAGTGGAGTTACTATTAGTATTTTTCAGACAAAAAAAATTAAGACTGACTAGGGGAAGAAGTTGGCAAGAACCTTTACTCCCAATTCTCAAGGTAGCTCTCTTAATAGAGGGACTAAATGTGGTCACTGTGGGAGCTTCTTGTAACTAAACTTAGTGTCCATATCTTTAAAAAAAAAAAAAGAGTAGAAGCAGTGAGATTTAATCCATAGAGAGATTGCTTTAAAGTCAGAAAAACTTAGGTGCAAATCTTGCCTCTGACAACACTGGGCTCTGTAACCCCTGGGAAACTCACCTGATCTGCCTCTCAGTGCCACAGGCAACTCTCTAAGACTGTAAGTTGCATAATAGTTGGCATTCAGCATTAGTAGAAAGTTTTCTCAATGGGAGTTGTGTACATTAATGAGATAAAAAATCCAGCTGAAAAGGGGAGTAGGGGTGGGCATGCAGGCTTAAATAATCTTCAGAGTCCTTATAGTTCTAAAATTGTATATTTACCAGTTGAAGATCATTTATTGTATTGTTGATGATGGAACAGCAGATCTTTAGTCTGTGAGTTTAGCACTGTGCCTAGCACAGAGAGGGTGCTTAATAAACGTTTATTGAGTGACTGAAAGGTGAAAATTTATTAGGGTGTGGGAGTGGCCTCTTAAAAGGATGCCTTAAAAATAAACTATTTTCATGCTATAAAGCTTAGTGTGATGGTGTAATACTTGAGATTTTCTCTTGGGGGGGGGGAAGTGTAGTTAGAATGGTCCACTTTATAATCCCTAGGTAACTTAATTGTTACTCTACTTTTGAAGGTATTTGATACAAAAGCTTTAGAGTCAAACCCTGGCTACTAGTATTGAGTTTTGAAAAACTGAAGAAAATTGCCTTCAAAAGTCTCTTGAAGCAAATTACATTCATTCTGAGTACAGTGACTGAAGTATTTTGTCTAAAAGCTTTCCAAGTGAATTGGTCACATGAAGCTACCAGATAAAATAAGCAGTCTGCAATCTCTCATCAGTAGCAACTCTTAAGTTTTTTTGGTTACTCATGATTGTTTAAATGAAGTGTTTGCAGAGGAAGAAAACTTAAACTTTTAAAAAAAATATTAATAACTTTTGTTTTTATATCACCTATGTTTCTCGTTGTGTTCTCCCATCTTCTCCAAGAGAGCCATGCCTTATGATAAAAAATAAATCAGAGGAGGGATAAAATAGTTTAGCAAAACTAATCACCACATTGAAAAAGTCTAAAAAAGTTTCATACTCATAGTCCCCTACTTCTGCAAAGTAGAGGGAAAGGTGTTTTCTTAATATCTCCTCTTTGGAGCCAAACTTGACAGGTTCATTATAAGTTTGAAGCATTTAGTTTCAGTTATTTTGTTGTTCTATTTTTGTAGCCATTGTATACGTTTTCCCAATCCTGCTTACTTCATTTTGTATCAGTTTGTGCACTTACCCATGTTTCTCTGTGTTCATCATGTTTGTCATGTGTTATAGTACTTATAGTATTTCATTACTTTCATGTACCACAATTTGTTTAGGCATTCTTTGTTTGATGCACATCTACTTTGGGAAACCTTTAGCTTTTGTTACTTTTGGGGGGGATAAAAAACATTACAGTACAAATATTTTTTAAGTACTTCATGTGTGCAAAGTCCTGTGCTAGGCAATTAAAACGTCATGCCGCTTTTGGTTTCTGATAGAAAGATCAGTTGAAGTTACAAGAGAAGGACATCCAGATGTGGAAGGTTAGCATGCAGAAAGAACAGGCCAGATACAATCAGCTCCAAGAGGAACGTGACACTGTGGTGACCCAGCTCCACAGCCAGATCAGACAGCTGCAACACGATCGGGAGGAATTCTATAATCAGAGCCAGGAATTGCAGGTATAAACCACAATGTGGAAAAAATTCAGTCAGGGGGAACAGCACAAACTGAAAACTGGATGGGGCAAGAGAATTACTTTGTTCATTTCGCCTAAACGAAAGTACTGTTTTCCAAGATCATAGCACATATAATTTATCCAGTTTTTTGTTATCTGTGTTCTTAAAACAATATAGGACTGGTAAGTCAAATGGATTATAATTTTTGAAGCCAAGAAATTGTATTTTAAGGAACAAAGGATAATAACATAATTGAAGAATTGATTCTTACTACTTGAAGGTTGGCTAGCCCTTGGAGTAGGTACACAATCTGGTCTCACAGTCGGTCACTATCTAATCTTCTGCCAACATCTGCTTGGACAGACAAAGCTGGAAGACTGCCGGAATATGATTGCAGATCTGAGGTTAGAATTAAAGAAGGCCAATAATAAGGTGTGTCACAGAGAGTTGCTGCTCAGCCAAGTTTCTCAAAAGGTAGGAAATGCTGTAAACTCTTAGCCCTTTTGACAGCATTGCCCAGCACCATTCCTTTCAAGTGGAGACTTGCCTCCTCTGCCCACCATAAGATGCTTGCAGTGTTGCAGCCTTTTACAGAAAAGGAATAAGTTTGACCTTTAGGTTCCTGAGCTGTGTGTCTTCCTTTGGGGTTCACTGCAGATATGAAAACATCCTTTTGCCCAGGAATGGGTGAGTTTTTCCTCTAGCTTTGCTACTCCACTGGGCCTGTAGATCTCAGCTGGGGTGGTTGTACATAATTAAATAATTTGTTGTCTAAGTCCTGAGATTCATTCCTTGTGAATTCCCCTTTCAGTTTTGAATTTGTTACAGCTCACTTGTACTTTTTTTTACTCTTTGAGCATGAGCTCTTTGGCCTGCGTTTTTTCTTATCTTTACCACATAGTAGGCCTCCCTTCTAACCCCTTACTTCTGAGACCAGGTGATGATGAGGTGTCAAGCCTTTGATTTTTACTCTTGAAGATAGTATGTGTCTACCTTGTGCTCTGCTTTGTAAGGTTCCCTTTAGTAGTTTTCAGCTCTGCAGAATTTGTACCTGATTATCTGTGTGTGTTCATGTTTTGGTTAGCTTTCAAACAGCGAATCAGTCCAGCAGCAGATGGAGTTCTTGAACAGGCAGCTGTTAGTTCTTGGGGAGGTCAATGAGCTATATTTGGAGCAACTGCAGAACAAGCATGCAGACACTACACAGGTATGTTGGGGTCAGGAGAAATGAAAACTCTTGATATTGAATATTGACATGTGGGATTCAGTCAGATGGCTTTGAAAATGAATATTGTTGAGAAAACTAGCCTCGTTGATGGACTGTAAAGCCTGAATCTATGTAATAGAATTATTTTCCCTGCTCTAGTGTCTGCTGTTCCCTAGGCTAACAACACAAGCACTTCCTAGATGTCAGGTATGCTTTTGGACCCCTACAAACACCCTTTGTCAGAAAAAAATGAACAGGAAAGAGAGCCAGTTCTATTAAATGTCAAACCTGGGGGCATATGGGTGTATGCTGGATTATGTGTTTCCTTAGTAATTGCATGTATTTTCATTTTCCTTTAGCTTTTAATTCTGAATTTAATTTTGATTAGTTGTTGAGCTTACTTTTGTCAATAAGATCATCTTGATCCTGGCCTTATGTTAATTTGTGACTCACCAGTATTGTTAAAGCAAATATCTTATGTTAACTTTATAGATAGACTTGAGTAATGTTATTAATGTTTTTGTATTGAATAGAACTTTAATAGTAAATGATTCCTGTCACTAAGTTATTCATCATCCACAGTTTTGTTTAGGATTTGAAGAACTATGCTTTTCAAAGCATGACATTTTTCCACCCTCTGAAATAATCTTAGGGAGTAAAATATAATTTTCACATTAGGCCAAGTTGCCTTCTGCTGTATCTCAGCCACTTGCTAAATGACAAACTTTAAAACTCTTTTTAAGTAAGGCAATCCTAATTTTAGAAAAATGAACTAGGGGCAGCTAGGTGGCACAGTGGAGAGAACATGGGCCCTGTATTCAGGAGGACCTGACTTCAAATACAGCCTCAGAGACGCAACACTTATTAGCTGTGTGACCCTGGGCAAGTCACTTAACCTCATTGCCTAGCCAAAAAAAAAAAAGAAAAATGAACTAAATTCTTATCTGAATGGTTCAAGGGCTTTGGAAAACCCACAGGAGGGAAAAATGGCTTTGGGTAGATGCTGTGTAGAGAACTTCATGTATTCAGTCTCAGTTGTACTTATTATACTTAGACATGCTAGTTATTAGAAGCACTGAAGTGAAACTTCAGGAGTCATTTGGGCTGTAAAAAAAAACAAAAACTGAAACATCTAAGCACTTACTATGTGCCAAGCACTATGACAGAAGCAGACTCTGCTGTACTCTAATGGACAACCACATGGAAAAAAAAACTAGATACGTACAAGATATATACAGAGTAGATAGGAAGTTATTTCAAAGGGGAAGGCACTACCCAGGACTTGGTGGGGTGGAGATGGGTGAGAGGAGACAGGAAAAGACCTAGATATGAACTGAGTCTTTGAGCAAGCCAGGGCTTCCAGAAGGTAGTGTATTCTAAACACAGGAGCCAACCAGTGAAAAGTCACAAAGTTAAGAGATAAGAGTGCTTTGTGCAGGGAACAGCAAGAAGGCAGGTGTAGATGGATTGTAGAATCAGTAGAGAAGAGTAAAATATAAGAAGATTAAAAGGATCAGAAGAAACTAGTTTGTAAAGACTTTTAAATGGCAAACTGAAGACTTTATATTTGATCCTGGAGTTAATACAGAGCCAGTGGACTTTATTGAATAGGGAAGTGACATGAACAGAGCTACACTTTAGGAAAAGCAGTTTGGCAACTGAGTGAAACTCAGCTCCCTGGATTGGAGTGGGGAGAGATTTGAGGCAGGGAGACCAAATTAGAAGGCTGTTGTAATAGTCCAGGTAAGTAGACGGGCTGAATTGAGGTGGTGGTTGTGAGAGTGGAGACAGGGAACAATATACTCAATATTGTGGAGGTAGAAACAACAAGATTTTTCAGTGAGATGGATGTGTGAGTTGAATGAGAAACTGAGGGAAACATTTAAATATGAAAAACAAGCAGGTATATGAGGGAGGGAATCAAGAGATGATGAAGTTGTGAGCCTGGGTGACTGTGAGCCCTCCACAGTAATTAGGGAAGTTTGGAGTGAATAAGTGGAAGTATAATGAGTTCTGTTTGGGGTTGTATGTCCACAGAACATTCATTTCAAAATATCTAAAAAATAGGTGGTAGTGCAGGACTATAGTTCAGAGATTAGAGTTGTATATAAAAATTGCAGAATCGTCTGCATAGAGATGGTAATTGAACCTGTGAGAGCTTGTGAGGTTGCCAAGAAAGATGCTAGAGAGGAATGAGAAGAGGGTCTAGCACAGCCTTTCAGGACTGCCCTAGAACATATATCTGAATATTTTGGAGCCCTTTAACAAATCCATTCATACTGATCAGAAAGGCAAAACTAACATAAGTATCATACTTGAGTCCTTGGTAGTAAGCTACAGCTGAGAAGCACGTAGATACCATAGGCATAGCTCTGTGCTCAAATGTTGGAATGTATTCAATCTCAGAGAAGCATTTGAGTTTTCTGATACATAACATTCCAGATAATACAACTCCTGAAGTGTCACTGAAAATTTTTTTCTCTTTCATTAGTTTCCTTTACTTTAGAAAACTTTGAATTATTTTCCCTAAGAATCTCATGCTTGTATGATTGTTTCACTGTGGTATATTAAGTACACTGGAGATAATAAATGGATTACAGGCTATTTGATTTGTCTAAAATGAACAGGACATTCAGCCTTGGAGTCAGGAGGACCTGAGTTCAAATCCAGCCTCAGACACATAACACTTACTAGCTGAGTGACTCTGGGCAAGTCACTTAACCCCAAATTGCCTCACCAAACATAAAATAAAATAAAATGAACAGGGCAGGGCTATCTCCTTCAGCGTATTTGGAAAATGGTTTTTGCCAAAGCTTTTGGATTAAAAGTGCCATAAATGCTTTGCCTGAGCCTACCTCTCCGGTTGGTGTAGTACATTCTAGCTAGTGTCTAGTCTTTTTGTTTTAGTTGGCATTACAATTACTTTTTTAGCTCTTAGTGCATGACACAAGTAGGATCTATCTCTTTCATTTAAAAAAAATCTTAATTCATTAACAAGCATTGACTCATACTCTTTTTTTTAACTTATGTTTGTTTTTAAGGAAGTGGAAATGATGAAGGCTTCTTATCGAAAGGAACTAGAGAAAAATAGAAGCCATCTCCTTCAGCAGAATCAGCGGCTTGATACCTCCCAAAAAAGGATTCTGGAACTAGAATCTCATCTGGCGAAAAAAGACCATCTGCTATTGGAACAGAAAAAATACCTGGAGGATGTCAAACTTCAGGCTAGGTAGCTTCATTAAGAGAGGCTTTGCATTAGCAGTATTAAGTGCTACTTAAAAGTGAAGCCTCTCAAATTTGTGGTGATTTCTTGTATTTTTTTTTACCCTATTTCAGAGGACAGCTACAGGCAGTAGAGAGCAGGTATGAGGCTCAGAAAAGGATTGCCCAGGCATTTGAATTAAAAATCTTAGATTTGTATGGCAGACTGGAGAAGGATGGCCTCCTGAAAAAACTTGAAGAAAAGACAGAAGCAGCTGAGGCAGCTGAGGAAAGGTAAGGATAGGTTGGGAAGAAAGTGGGATTCCATGTTCTGGAGGTAATGATTTGACATTTATATCCATTTATATTTGGCAGCTAAATTTATACTTGGAACTAAAGAGCTAGGGCAATAGTTTATTTTAAACCAAATAAAACCACATAGTCTTAAATTTAACAAAAAACTTAATGCACTTTGTGCTAGCTTCCATTTCTTTTCCATCTGTGTACTAATTTTATTAATAGTCATAGTCATCATGTCCTCTTCTAATTCTTCACTTTACATTACTTTGTTTTCCCATATTTATTTGTTCCTCATTTAAATATTGCAACAATTAATTTTAATGATAAACCATAATCTGTTGATTCTTTGGATCTTTAGATATTCAGTTTCTTGGCAGTGAGTTTTTTGGGGGATATTTTTGTATTAAATTTTATATAGCTAAGTCTTTTTTAAAAATAGTGTTCAGAGATAGTATGGCATAATGGATAGAGTTGGCCTCAAGAGTCAGGACATCCTGGGTTTAATCGTGCCTGTGTATACTGACATATACTTACTATAACTCTGGGCAAGTCACTTAACCTCTTAAATAGTTGCCCAGGCAACTTTCTAAAGATTTAATTTGCAGGGCAGATGCTGTTATGCATCAATAAGGAGGAGTTTTCTTATTGTGAATTCCCTGTATCAGTTAAATCTCCTGTCTGGTACAAAACATAAATAAGATCCTTAAAATATAGTCTTGATAGTGGATCTACTAGATCAAAGGGTATGATCCCTTTTTTTGGAGGGGGGAGGAGGCAATTGGGGTTAAGTGACTTGCCCAGGGTCACAAAGCTTGTGTCTGAGGCCACATTTGAACTCAGATCCTCCTGACTCTAGGGCTGGTACTCTATCCACTGTGCCACCTGGCTGCCCCGTGGTCCTTTTTAAAACTTGTTATATTGCCAGATTGCTTTCCCAAAAGACTACATGAGTTTAAAATTCGACCAATAATATAATAGTGCCTTTTCCTACACACACTGAAACATTAAATTTTATCTTTTTAAACAATTTTTGCCATTTTAATGGGAGGTGAAAATGTCTCTAACTGATTTAATAAGCATTTCTTTTTATTAAAGGGTTTGAACAGTTTAACTAATGATTATAATTTGTTTCCTCATTTAAACCTTTTGTTTATGTACCAAGGCAATTTGGTTTGTCAAAGAGGTCCCCTTTCAACTCACACCCTTCTAGAAGAAATTCTGTGTGAGTCCCTAAGACATTTTAAGTTCCTAAGATATTTTTGCATAGCCTCCCTTAACTCCAGGATGGTAGGAGTCAGCAATAATTTTTAAATCTCCATTTACTTTCATAAAGTTTTGAGTTAAATTTCACAAAGACCTGGGAGCTCATGCTTATTCCTGATTCTGCCCCCACTGTGTTGTATAAAGTGCGTCACAAACTAGATGAGTTGGTTAGGGTTAGCAGATCTGAACCAATAGCCATTTCTGAGTTGGTGCTGTTATAACAGTTAGCTTTTAGATGACAATGCAAATCATAACCATTATCTTTTTTTTCCCCCACCTTCATTTGTCATTAACAGGCTTGACTGTTGTAATGAAGGTTGCCCCGATTCACTGGTAGGGCACAACGAAGAGGCCGCTGGCCGAAATGGTGAAACTAAGACCCCCAAGTCTGGTAGCAGCCGGGGCAGTAGTGGCAGCAGAGGAGGTGGAGGTAGTAGCAGCAGCAGCAGTGAGCTTTCTACCCCCGAAAAACCCCCAAACCAGAGGGTAGGGCCATTCAGCAGTCGGTGGGAAACAACTTTAGAAACTTCCACCAGCATCCCTGTGACTGTTGGCTCACTTCCCAGTTCAAAGAGCTTCCTAGCCATAAAGGCTCGAGAATTGTTTCGTAATAAAAGTGAGAGCCAGTGTGATGAGGATGGCTTGACCAACAACAGCCTTTCTGAGACACTAAAGACTGAACTGTACAAAGATCCAAGCACGGAAGCAAAAGCCCCCCTGGGCCTAGACAACCCTCACCCCTCTCCCAAAAACCAGGAAAGTGTTGGACAGCTTCGTATCATGGACTACAATGAGACTCAGCATGAACCCAGTTAAAGGATGATGGTCAATCAGTGTTAACTTTCATATTCTTGGCATAGAATGGGAGGCATGAATGCAAGTGTAAAAGCTTTCATTTTTCCAGGCTGTGAGTAGCTAGCTCCTGCCATGGAAATAGGACTGAGCTCCTTTTGACAAAAGACTGAATGCAGAATGGTGTTTGGATCTGGCATTGAAATGCCTCTGACCTTTCTCTTGACTCTTATCTAAACCTCTCCTTTCTTTCCTAGCAGTGTGTGCTAACCCAAGGGCCAGTTTGCATTCATAAGTATCTTTATTTTCTTCCTCCTTTCCCCAAATGGTTGCATCCTATAAACCTGTGCAATATGAGGCCAAATTTAATCTTTGAATCTAACGCACACAACTTTCTGCTTTACTGAAGCTCAAGTAGCTTGCCCAGCTTTCAGTGCAGAACCAGTTAATTGGTGGTGGTACAGGTAAGTCTGTTTTTTTTTTTCCTTTCTAGGATGCAGTTTACAGAGCCAGTTGCCTTCAGGTGAAGGCTTCTAAATGCATATGTTTTTTTCTCCCTGCTTTCTGGTTCTGAAGTTCAGCACCCAAAGCAGTGGATCAAGAAAAAAAGTGGTGTGTTATTCACCCTTATGTTCTTTGGAGGCTCTGATAATGCTTCCTAGAAAGTTTGGTGTGAACACACTCTTTGGCCATTTCAAAGAACTGGAGCTGGAGCTGTGGGGTTTGGTGAAGCACCATCCCTCCTTCCCCTCTACCTCTTATTTATTTGGTGTTGGCTGAAAAGCTGGTACTCTTCTGACTACAACTGGGGGGGGTGTGCAGGTGATGAAACCCAAACTCTGGGGAGAGAAAGAATGGAGACTGGAAATTTACCTAAGGAACCCTTGTGGAAGAGTTAATGTGTCCCCAGGCAAATCTTGGGCTGGCTGAACCTTTTTCCTTCCGTTTTTTTATCAGTTTCTTTTTGTGATTCTCTCCTTGTTCATCTCAGTCTCTAATACTGCACCAGAAATGATCAGAAGTTCCAAAGAAATCTCCTCAATGTCATTTGTTATGTAGCTATGTGACCATCTTTTCTTAGGTCTGGCCTCAGTATGGCTTAGGCCAACATAATAGCTACAGCTTTTTTCCATACTAACTGTAACTTTGTATGTTAGGTACTTGGTTTGCAGGTAGGATGGAACTAATGAATTCCAAGTTTCAGTGGTGATGGGTTTTGAGGGAAAATTTGTGAAGTTGTAACCAATACGGATCAACACAGGTCCCATTTGGATGATCAAACATATGTGGACAAGGGATGACTGTGTACTTCAGACAACTGCCAGGGGAGAGTGGCAGAAAACCCAGCTCTGCCAAAGCCTTGAAAATGTTAGAAACCTAAGAAATGCTTCAATTGGAATATTAGGTAGCAAATGAAGACTGGAATTACAAATAATGTTTTGAAGCCTAGAGGATGACCCATGGGCTACAGATAATTATAAAAAGAATAGAGGTGTGGGGGAAGCCAGGGGAAGATGAAGATTCTTAAATCTTACTGAGCAAGGAAATGCAGGAAACTCCATGCTTTAAAAATAAGTGGTAATAAGACTTAACTCTAGTATCCCTTCCCATGTTGAGACTGAGCAGGAAGTGACTGCACTAGAATTGGCAAAATTAGGCTGGCTAATAATATGGGGACCTCTGATATCCACACCTAATTTGGTTGAATATTTCATCAGGACGAGATGTGGAGGTAAGGGGGTTTTATTGTTGTTGTTTGTGGATGTGTGTTTGGTATTTTTAATGAGTTGGCTTAGAGAGTACTTTAGAATAGTAGGCTGAAACTTGTCTAGGATTTGTTCATGGGCAACCCAATGTTTCAGTAACTATCACAACACACTTAGTTTGATATTTCTGGTTGGAGAAGGAAAGCCCCAAACTTTTAATAAGAGGTCATTCATTTTTAGGAGAGGCAACAAAGACAAAACACCATTTCTAACTGAAAAGTTATGGTAACCCTAGAAATGTCTTAAACATACCCTCTTACAAAGCCCAGGAAAAACATGTGCTAGAAGTTGAAAAATACTAGGTACTTGAACAAAAGCCCTGTATGGCTAACAAGTGAATTAAAGATGGCCTTTGGAAGGAGAAAAAAAAAGATTTTTATCTTTATAGTTTTATATATACATACATACATACACACACACACACACACACACACACACATATCTGGAGAGATTGTACAAACGCTCATTTTTAAAACAGAGGTGATCTGGTATAAATATCTGACTGGGAGTCAGAACAGTTCTAATCCCAGCTCTTCCACTAACTTAAACTATGACAGTGGCTAGGTTTCTGAACTTCAGTTTCTGTAAAATAAGGAAGGTTGGGCTAAATAACTTACAAGGTCCCGTTCAGGTCAAATATTCTGTAAGTAAATAAAACTTTAAGTCTACAGTGGATGAAGATCAAATATAAAATAGGCTAAAAGAAATCATTCTGCATATACTTTTTGAAGGAGCTAAAAGCCAATAGTGCAATTCTTTAATTACATGGTTAAGCTAGAAAGTCAGTGGGAACACTGGATCATAGTACAAAAAGTTCTTCAGGGAATAAGGATGTAGAAGAGAGGCTGCTCTCCATTCCTGAATTCTCTTAAAGTAAATGGATCAGAATTATTTGAACAAATAGTGGCACAAGCACAGGGTGTCCTAGACCAATATCAAATTAAGTATAAATAAAAGAATCAAAGCGTTATCAAAAAACTAAATGGTAAAAATTAAGGAACTTTTCGGCCAGATATGCAACCAGTAAGAAACGTTCACCAGATCAGAGAACTACTAGATTATCACTGATTCCCATTCCTTGGGGAGACTTTGAACTCTAGACTAGTGAGTCTGGTGCCTGTGAAGCTGGTAGAATCAATTATGAAGGATAGTAACAAGAACATAAGTAGAATACAGTGGACCTTTGCATGGCAGAGTTGGAAGGAAGGGAAATTATGTGCTAACAATAGGAAGAAATCATGCCTGAATCTGCTCAAATTTGAAGGTGTAAATTTTAGGCTTTCCCAATGCCTTTGACAAAAGTCTTATCAGAAAGTTGAAAATTGAGTTACTCTTGGATTAGGAAGAATGTTTGCCCATGGATGGGGAGCTTGCTTAGAGAAGTGAACCGAAGTGTGTAGGATAATGGTCAATGATTCTGTGGATAGGATAGTAACAGGATTCTTAGAAGCAATCATATAACATTTTTACAAATGAAATAAATATCAAAGGTTTGTGGGTGACACTCAGCTTTTCTGGGTAGTGGAATAACAAGCCTGTGGGTATGTGCTTCAGGAAAATTTCATGAGGTCTAAGTGGGGGAAAAAGATGACAGATGAACTTCAGTGTGAGCAAGTGTCAATAATGTACTTGTTCCAAATCATACTTTAAAAGATGAGCTGTTAACATCTAAGAAAGATCTGAGAATTATTACCTTTTTTGAGAACAATGTTGCTATAGCTTGAAAAGTCTTTGAAGAGTGGAAACAAACTTTATTAGGAAGGGAATTGAAAACACAAACATCCAAACCATGACTCTTCTGCTTATGCAATATATGCAATTTGATTTGCTTAGGAAGGATAAAGCCAAAGACTAGGCAACAGGGTGACAAGGACGAGGCAGGCAATGATGGGAGTTTTTGTGAGGACAGACAAAAATGAAAAATAAAATTTGTCAAGAAAGGCTGAGTGGATGTGGTCAAAATTTATAAAATTATGGAAAGAATTACTAAAGGAAAAGGTGGCCTTTTCCACCAAATCTTGGAAAATTATAACTAGAGGTACCCTTTTGAATCTAGAAAGACATAATTTTAGAAAAGCTTAAGTACTGCTTGATAGTGGCTAGCAAACTTTTGGAACATAATAATAAGGTGGTTTGGAGGTAAAAAGTACAGGTTCAAGAAAGATTAACATTAATTTATGAAAGGTTGATCCATAATAGGTTATTAAGAGAAACTAGGGCTGGGGCATGTCCCTAGCCTTTTGAAGTTGCTTCAGCAAGAATAGCCATGTTTTCTCACAATGGCCTTTGGTTGTCAATATCAGACAAAATACTGGGCCGAGTGGATCATTATTGGTCTGACCAAGGATGATATGTTTCAAATAGTTGATGGAGAAATGAGTGTTTTGGACAGGTTAGCCTGTTGCATTCTTCACTCTTCATGGTACATGCTTTATAGTTGCCCCATAATGAGTGTTTGAAATTGTATCTTGTCCAAAGCTGTGTGTATGTGTGTATACATCTTTTTGTAAGTTTTCAGAATAGTCTCACTTGCAAGTTAATTGCACCTATCTAAGCTTTTACCAGTAGGAACTTTGTCCAGCTGAATAAGGGATGGGTTTATGTAAGGGAATTGGCCCCCAAGTTGCTGCTGTGTGCCCTTGTCTTATATTTGGCTCCAGAATCCATTGTTTAGCTACATGTGTGCTTAATGAAAACATAACGGTTCAGTTTTCTAAAACAATCCTGCAATCTATATGTGCTAATAATATAAGGGGGAAAGTGAATTCTGGTTTGTTCACAAAGTTAAGCTGGCACCACCGTAAATGGGCAGTGCTGTCTACCTAACATAACTTTACTACCCCGAGATGAGGTAATGAAGGTAGAGTGTCTTTCTTTGTCCCTTCTTTCCCCATTGCTCAGTGGATAATAGATAAATGTAACTTTAAAACCACAAAAATTATCCTTGAGTAAACAGACTAGCTTACCTACTGAGCTAGATCTCCTTTCAGAGGATACGAGAATTTGAAACCTGTAGGCTGAGTCCAGGTGCCATGTTTGGAGGGAGGGGGTGTTCTTTATAGCAGGATCATATGCTGTTGATTCCAATATGGGTTTACCCAGGAGCACCAGGTGTTTTACACTAGGAAGAATTGGGAATCACTTTCAGAAGACTTTGTTTTTCTATGGACCATGAAGATTATGGAGGAACAAATTTTTTGCTAAAGACATAATCTAGTTTTGTAAACCTCAACTATGGAACTTCAGAATAATAGAGTGAACTTGCAGTTTAAAGGGATCCTTTGGCAAAGTGGCAACACTTCTTTTTTTAACTGCTTTTAGTTCAAATCTAAAAATGTCATCTTTTGTCAAAAAGGTTCAATCCGTTCCCTGCCTCACGCTTGTAAGCATGTCAGAAACAATCCACAGTAAATGCCATAAATATGAACTGCAAAGGAAAATGGTACAATCTTAGTGAATGAGAATTGGAATCAAAAGGTTTTGCTGTCCTTACTAGAATGTTCTAAAAATGTCAAGGCAGTTGCTTGTGTCTAACTGTGAACAAATAAAAATTTATTGTTTTGCACTATTTTCCTGTGTTAAACTGAGATGGGGGACATGTGCTAGCCTCTGAGGATGTGAGGGCAAAGGTTATGGTTTTTAAATAATACAAAACGGTTTTAATTCTCTTTAATATACAAAATCCTTTTCAGTTTTAACTAACTTGGCTAGGGACAGTATGTTACCAAGTCCAAGATTTGGGGTTTGCTTGCTAATACTGAATGCCTAGCCCAGGGTTTCATATATAGATATTTAATAAGTGTTTCTTTTAATTGAATCTATAGCAGAGAAACTGATATGTACCTGGATCATACCTTGTGGTTATGACCAAAAAGGGACCAGACAAGAATGGATAACTTGGTGTAAACACTATCAGCAGTAGACAACTAGCTGAAAACGGTCAGGAGTGTCATCCTTGTATCCTAAGGTTATTAACTTCTCAAAACTTACCTGGAATACTTTTAGTAGATGAAATTATATGCTTGAGTTGTCAGATTTTTTGTTCAGTACTGAGCCTTGCTCATAGGAATTTTTAGGTGAGACAAGGTGACTAATAAAGCAACAATAGTAATGTAAAATAATGTATAAAAATTTATTTTATTTCTTTGTCTGCCTTTGTCCTTATTTTGTTTAGGGTCCACTGGATAGAGTCAGCACACCAGTGATTAGAAAAATATTTGCAACATTTGTAGCTTGTTATCCTATGAAGAACTGTCTATCACTTCAGAAGACTTGCTTCTTTTGTGGACCTCAAAGATTATGGAGGAATTGATTTATGTTAAGGTTTTTAACATAAGTTAACTAAAGTTAACTAAAATTCTGACAACTCAAATGTACAGTAATTTGATTCCATTAGACAACTGAAAAGTCTTAATTTTCCAAGGAACTCTTCTGTCTTTGTGACCATTTTGAACTTTTTTTCCCCTAGGTATATGAAGAATTACTTATATGCCACTACCACCCTAACAATGGCATCTCAAAATTGAAATTTTATTCAAGCTATGTGATCGTGACTCTTTGATCTCAGCAAATTTTGCATCCTTGCCTATATCGTCTCTTCCACCCACCTCCTACCTCCCCAATCCCTTCAGTGGCCCTGCTGTTTAAAATTAAGGCTTTTATTTAAAAAAAATAAAAAGGATTCTCTCCCCCCCCCTTTTTTTACCCTAGCTAACCTAAAGTTAGGATTTTTTCTTGTTTAACACCTGTGGCTAGTTTAATAAGATTATATACTAATTGAGCAAGTAATGATCTGGATTACACTGAAAAGACCTGACTTAATAGTTTCTGTTTGTCTGATGACAGTTTGATGTCCTTGGATATTTTAGGATAAATCGAGGGGTACAGTAAGGGGAAAATCCCAATAAACCAAGCCAGAAAAATAGCTGGTGGAGCACTTTAATTCTTGAGTGTCCCCCCCGAGGAAGCAAGAGTACAGAAGCTAAGTCGCCCCCTGTAAAGGGAAAATCAATAGTCAGACATCAGTACTGGTAGAACTTGATGCTAGTGGCACATTTAAAAAAAGTTGGACTACAAATGATTCTGAAACAGTGTGAATCTGCTAATATGACATAGTAGTAGGAATAGAGAATAGGCAGTAGGAACTGATTCCATTCAGTTACTAGTTTTACTCCAAAGAACTAAAAGCACTTTAAAAGGTCAGCACAACAAATATCACATAAATTCCTGTAAAGTGAGAAGCAAAGGAGCATCTTCGTTTTGCAGGCAAGAAACTAAAGGCAGAGAAAAATTGTGGCTTGACTAAAGGTACATGGTAGTCATGGGGTAGAGAACAGAACCCAGGTGATTTGACTCACCAGGTATGTCAAATGGAGGAGATGGGGAACACTTTACTCCCTGCTTTCCTACTTGTTCACCTGTACGGGAAGGGAGGAATTTTAGACCAAGATGAGGCAGCTCACAAAGTTTTAGTGGAGCCACCCTGTTCCCCTTATTCTGAATACCACCCCCCTCATCATGCTTTCCTCCAATCTATTCATAGAATGAGCCTCCACACCTGAAGCCCAGAGTGACTTGTAGGTCATATAACAGCAAAGCTGGACTAAACTTAAGTCCCCTGACTCCTAATCCTGAGCTCCTTCCATTACACCACTTTATTCCTCACCTAAGTTGAGACCTGCTTCTGTTGGTATGTGACCTTATTCATAGGCTGGGAAAAGGTGGAGTAAGAGGGAAAAGGAAAGGGGAAGTGGCTTATAGTACTGTCTGGGCCAGCCCATTTTCAAGTCAAAATATGGCAGAGACTATGGGGGGAGGGAGGCAATAGAAGTGGAAAACTTAGTGGATACCAAATTAAGTAAGAAACCACCCCCAACTTAACCATTTTAAAATGTTTGGCTTTAATTTTTAAAGGTTAGGTCCACCAGGTGGTCTCCAGGGAGGAATGAAAACTTTCCTTTCATTTTTCCCTCTAGATTTGTAATGTTTCTTAGGGTCCCTATTTCTTTCTTTCCTAGCCAAAGTCTTTGTGGCAATGGAATGGCAGCTAAGTTTGCCTCCTGCACTCTTCTTTTCACCCTCCTGGTCACTCACATGCTGAATTGCTTTTCGTGGTAATTTCTCAGAGTGGGCTATCCATTCTTTCATTAAGTCCAATGTCACAGGAATAAGACTCACAACTCCTCCATAGTGATTCCTTGCCTCATCACAGCTTAAGTGGTTGACCACATCATGCGGGTATCTGTAGGGTTGGAAAAAGAGCTCGATCAGTAAGCAGGAGTCAATCATTCCTACCCAGTCCCAAGCTTTTGCTGCAAAGGGTTTGTTTAGCCCTGGTTAACACTTGATCTTGCCAAACAATAGTCACTCCGTGCTATGTAATTCATTTATGTTGGGTAGAACCCTGCTTTTGGAGAACAGGCGAAGGCTCCAGAGCTCCTACATGTAGATTTGGATGTGGAGTGATCCACAAAAGCCTGCCTGAGAATAGCTGAGCACCCTAGGGAGGGAAGAGTGGCCCCAGGGCAGGAATGGATCAATCCCATCACTGGCTTGAGAGCTGAGAAAGATGATAATTTTTCTGATTCCCTCATTTTATAGCTGAAGAAAAAGGCCCTGAGAAGTTGTGACATAGGTCACAAAGGTAGCAAGCAAGCATGAAACTAGATCCAAGACTACATTTACCTCTCTGCTAGAATACTTCATACCTACAACCTCACTCCCTCATTGAGCTGGATTTGGGGGTGAGAGTAGGTGCTAGAAAGGGTCAAGGTTACCTAAACTTTTATTAAGAGAAACTTTGTAAGAAAACCCCAAATGGAGTCACGAAGAGTTGGACACAACTGAAATGATTGAACAACATGTATAAGGGAACTGGCCCCTAGGCTGCTTTCTGTGTGTCCTTATTTATATTTGGCTTCCCAATCCATTGTCTAGATAATTGTGTACTGGGTGAGGGAGGTGGGGACTAGGGGTGCCTAGTAATAAGGATGACATTTTGCAGAAATGAATGGTAGTATACTGTGTGCTAGGGGGTGTGAAGCAGACAACCTATGGCAGAAAGTAGGATTTGAGCTGAGTTTTGAAGCAAGGGAATCCCAGAGATGGAGAGGAAGAGGAAGGGCACCCCAAGCATGAGGAATAGCCAATGAAAAGTCATAGACAACAAGCTATTCCCCAATCGATAAATGGCCCAAGGATATGAACAGATAGTTCTCAGAGGAAGAAATGAAAGCCATCTATGGTCACATGAAAAAATGCTCTAAATCATTATTGATTAGAGAAATGCAAATCAAAACAACTCTGAGGTACCACATCACACGTATGAGATTGGCCAACATGACAAAACAGGAAAATGATAAGTGTTGGAGAAGATGTGGGAAAATTGGAACACTAATGCATTGTTGGTGGAGTTGTGAAATGATCCAACCATTTTGGAGAACAATTTGAAACTATGCCCAAAGGGTTATAAAAATGTGCATACCCTTTGACCCAGCAATAGCACTTCTAGGGCTATATCCCAAAGAGATCATACAAATGGGAAAAGCACCCACATGCACAAAAATATTTATAGCAGCTCTTTTTATGGTGGCAAAGAATTGGAAATTGAGAGGATGCCCATCAATTGGGGAATGGCTGAGCAAGTTGTGGTATATGAATGTAATGGAATACCGTTGTGCTATGATGAACAGGCTGACTTCAGAAAAACCTGGAAAGACTTGTATGGTCTGATGCTGAGTGAAGTGAGCAGAACCAAGAGAACTTTGTACACAATAAGAGCCACGTTGTGCGATGACTAATGTTGATAAACTTAATCCTTCCCAGCAACACAAGGATCTAAGACATCTCCAGAGGCCTTGTGATGGAAAATGCTATCCACATCCAAAGAAAGAACTATAGAAGTTGAATTGCCATTTTTTTCCCTCTTCTGTTGAGTTTTGTTTCCTCTTTCTGGTGGTTCCTCCTATTGGTTTTAATTTTTACTCACAACATCACTAATGTGAAAATGTATTTAATAGGAATGTAAATGTATAGCTTATATCAGATTATGCTCCATCTCGGGGAGGGTGGTAGGGAGGAAGGGGAAGACAAATTTTAAACTCAAAAGCATATGGAAGTGAAAAGTCATAGAGTCAGGAGGATGGAGGGTTACGTGCAAGGAACATCAAGAAGGGCCAGTGTAGCATACATGGAGAAGAGTGAAATGTAAAAAGACTAGAAAGGAAGGGGCCAAGGTTGTAAAATACTATAAATGCCAAACAAAAGATTAGTAGGGAGGTGACATGGGCAGACCTGCATTTTAGGAAAATCACTTTGACAACTGAGTGAAAGATGGATTGGACTATGGAAAGACTTAAGGGAGCAGACCAATAAGAAAACTATTGCAATAATCCAAGGGAGAAGAAGCAGGAGGGGCCGATGAACTGTGATGGTGGCTGTGAGAGTAAATAGAAGGGGACATATACAAGAGACATTTTGAAGATAATAATAGCTAGCATTTCAATGGCACTTTAAGGTTTGCAAAGTATTTTACATTTGTTATCTCATAGATATTTGGCACCAGATTCG